TTTAGAGGTGAGTGAATACTGATTTCATTTGCAATCTTAATATTTCAAAATTGTGTTTCCAACAAACTTATACTTTCATGTGTAAAAATAACATAACTCAGATTATAGGCATTACTTTGTCTTAAAAAAAAAAAAAGCAATAACTACTTTGCTTACATCTCCAAAGAACCAAAGGTTCATGTTTCTTAAAGAAATTTTCTTCCAGAGAGCTACCTTGTATTTTGTTTTTGTTTTTTGTTTGTTTGTTTGTTGTTTTTTTTAACCTCACCCTTTTTTGCATTTATCTTCAGATAGAGCGGGAGGGAGAGAGGGAGGAAGACAGAGAGAGAAACATCGATGTGAGAGAGAGACATCAGTGGTTGCCACCCACAGGACCTCAACCCTGCGGGGACACACTGCAACTGAGGTACATGCTCAGAGAGCTGCCTCGTTGTTTACGATTAAAAGTAAAGCCAACATACCCTTTCAGCTGGGTCCTGTGCCCGGGCTCCCCGGTCTGCCCAGCAGTGGTAAATATCATTTCCTGAGCCCCTGGGGCATGCGCAGACAAAAACGGTTAGAAAGAAGGATTTCCGAAGTTTATACGGAGATGGGAAGGAAGCACCTGTATTTGACAGCAAACTAGATCATCCCCTAAACCTCTTGGGTACGATGCGCTGAGCTGTCTACAGACAAATCGGTCAAGGGAAGGTAACAGGTCAAAATCACGTGGACTTCACTCTAGACTAAAGTGTGTTAAGTGCTCACAAAGCCATTCCCAGGGGTTCGATGGGATCCCTGATTTCTGGAGCTCAAGAGCCGATGCCAGTTGTGAGAAACCCGCAGGGCTACTGCCCTCCCTCAGGGTCCTGCTGTGGAAGGTTCCTCTTCACCATCCTCTGTCACTGAGCCGGCCTTCGCTCCATGAAAATCGCGTGGTAATGGGTCATGTGTCCTCATTAGTTCTAGATATCCCCCAGATGCCTGGAGATTTTGAAAATTAACAAATAAGGAACCATTTGATATCACTTGCTGGGCCATACCGTTGTTTTTTTTTTTTAAGTAATGAAATAATTCTTTTTATCTGAATGAAAATGATCTTTTTAGCATGGAAATGTCTCTTCCGAACAATGAAATGTTAGCAAAGGTGATGCTACCAACTAGCTCTTTTGTGAGCGTCTCCTCAAATAAGAAGCTTTGACCTGCTATCTTAGCGTGAAGCAATTTCCAAACGGCCTCAGAACAGTGAGGGCCGAGGAGGAGAGGAGAATATTTTTTAAGGGTTCTGTTCTTGCAGTTTTTGATGATAACAGAAGTAAAATCCACCTATACTGTCCAGGCTTTGGGAAAAAACAGATAGTATCTGCTGATAACTGGGAATCGATAATCTCTTGTAATTCATCTTCTCCCAATCACAGGCTGATCGCACACAGTGCTTCAGGGATCTGTTCTCTCTACAGTTGGGAGAATGGTTCTGGAAGATAGCTCTTTGTTCAAAATCTAGTTAGAAAAGCAAGTAAACAAGCAACAGCCAAACCCTCTGTTTAGGTGTCCTTGCTGAAGCAGCCCTGTACAAGAAGGTCCCAGTCTGGGGCCCGGCTAGGGATGGGGCAGTGGTCTGCCTCCTGGTTTAAAGGGGAAACGTCACATTGTTCAGAATCCTCAGCTCCCAAGGGTCTCTAGAAAAAAACCAGCAGATCTGGAGCTCTGGTCTGCTGTTTAGGCCTCCCACCATTCTGTCTGATCACTGTGGTCCTCCTGTCCTGTGGTTCTGTGCTGCTGAGGAAAACAGAACAGGCGAGTCACGTTACCAATGAACTAAAATCAGCAGGCAAGTGCAGTGATCAGTTTAATGACTGAAATCCTGGGATGGTGGCAGGTTATCAGTGAGTTGGGTGAAAAACAGGAGAGGCATCTTCAGTCTCTGTCTTCTCTCCCCAGACAATGATGAATGTTATTCCTCTGCACCCGCTCGGTGCCTAGCTCGCTCGGTGCCTAGCTCACACGGTGCCTAGCTCACACGGTGCCTAGCTCACACGGTGCCTAGCTCACTCGGTGCCTAGCTCACACGGTGCCTAGCTCACTCGGTGCCTAGCTCACTCGGTGCCTAGCTCACTCGGTGCCTAGCTCACTCGGTGCCTAGCTCACACGGTGGGTACTCGAATGTGTGCTGGCTCCATTTTCTTTTCTTTTTTTTAATCCTCACCTGAGGACATTTTTCCTTTTTTTTTTGTTCAGATAGGGTGGGGGAGAGAGAGAGGAAGAGAAAGAGAGAGAGAAACACCGACGTGAAAGGGACACATTGAGTGGCTGCCACCTACACGACCCAACCAGGGCCGGGGACAAACTGCAACTGAGGTACGTGCCCTTAGCGGGAACCGAACCCTGGTTTCTCTGGACCGCAGGCCGACGCTCTAACCGCTGAGCCAAACCAGCCAGGGCTCCACATTCAACTGAAGGACATGTTTAGCCATTGGCACTGAATTGGCTTTATTCCAGCCGTCTTCTCTGAGCTTGCAGGAAAGTTTAAAAAGCTACTGATTTATTAAGGACAAATGCTCTAATTTGGGGGCGTATCAGAGAATCAATTTTCATATCTGATCTCAAGCTTTTGGCTTGAACAAAAGTTTATAAAATGATGAACCCCAATTTTATTTTTACTGAAGTATTCTTTCATTACAACTAAGAAATATAAAATAACCACATTAAAATGTAATCAGAAATTCATCCTTTGAGCTACCTGAAGGAGCCATATTCAATAGGGCAATTTGGCAATATCTATCAAAATTTTAAATCTGCGTATTGTCTGAACCATTTTAATGCTAGGAATACTCTGTAGACTCCATGAATGTACCACAAAAGTGTGCTAAGATATGTTACAAAGATGTTTGTTGCAGTGTGTGTATGAACTAAATGTCCACAATTAAGATAATGGTTTAATATAATATATCCATCTGGTGTAAAACTAGGTAGCAACTAAAGGGAATTAAGTAAATATGCATGTAGTCATATGAGAATATCTTCAAAGTATATTATGGAGTAAAAAAACAGTATATATCATAAGTTCTCTTTTTTTTGTGTATATAAAAAATGCACATGTAAATATACAAGGTGGGCTAACTAATAAATTGCAAGTATTTAAAAATAAATCTGGCCTTGGCCAGTTTGGTTCAGCGGTTAGAGCATCGGCCTGCAGTCCAGAGAGACCCGGGTTCGGTTCCTGTTAATGGCACGTACCTTGTTTGTGGTTTGTCCCTGGCCCTGGTTGGTCATGCAGATGGCAGCCACTCAATGTGTCCCTTTCACGTCGATGTTTCTCTGTCTCTCTTTTCCTCTCTCTCCTTCCCACTCTATCTGAACAAAGAATGGAAAAAAAGTATACTCGGGTGAGGATAGAAAAAATAAATAAATAAATAAATCTGAATCTAAAAAGTTCTAGTTTTTTATTTCAATCAACTATTACAACAAGCTAGAGTTTAACAAGATGATCACTCTTTTTAAAAAAAATGAATAACGCCCTGGCTGGTTTGGCTCAGTGGTAGAGTGTCAGCCTGCGGTCCAGAGAGACCCGGGTTCGGTTCCTACTGAGGGCATGTACCTCGGTTGCAGTTTGTCCCCGCCCTGGTTGGGTCGTGCAGGAGGAAGCCACTCGATGTGTCCCTTTCACAACGCTGTTTCTCTCTGTCTCTCCCACCCTACTCTATTTGAACAAAAAATGTCCTCGGGTAAGAAATTAAAAAAAAAAAAAAGAATAACAAGTCAATAGACAAGTTTATTTCTACAGTCTATGAAATAACCTTAATCTAGCAGAAATATTAAGAGTAATATTACAGAAACTGCTGTAATTATGGACTCAAATTACAATGTTCAGATTTCATTAAAATACATTTAGAAACCTTTTCTTCTACTCAATCAATTTAACAATATTTGTTATTATATACCATGCTCGCTGTTATTTTTCGAAATGCTGAAATGAACAAAAATGGGCAAAAAAGATTAACCTCCGTGGTGTTGCATTCTAGTTTAGGAGAAAGCAAAGAAGAAATATTCATTGAACTTAGTAATTTATACATAGAAGGGGATGTATAACGAGAAATATAAAGCATAAAGTGGGGATAAGAAATGCTGGTGGGAAATTGCCATTTCCAATAAGATATTCAGGGATCTGTCTTTATTTATAAGATAAAAAGTAACCAAAGCACTTGGCTGGTTTGGCTTAACAGTTAGAGTGTTGGTGGGAGGACCAAAGGGTCACAGGTTCGATTCCTGCTCGGATCATTCAGGAGGCAACCAATCAATGTGTCTCACAGCGATGTTTCTCTCTCTCTCCTTCCCTCCCTTTCTCTCTCTCTAGAAAATCAATGGAAACATACCTCAGGTGAGGATTAAGTAACTAAAGCCATCACCATTTATCCCTCCTACACCCTCTTCTTCCTCCCCACCCCTTTCTCTCTGGTAATCACCATACTGTGGTCTGTGTCTATGAGGTTTTTCTTTTTGTTCTGTTTTGTTTGTTTTGTTTTTTGTTTTGTTTTTGCCTTGTTTTTTGCTCTGGCAGGTTTCCAGGGAGTCAGGAAACGGAATAAAGCTCCCAGCAGAATGGTCTTAACACGTTCCCCAGACCCAGAAAAGTAGGAAAAACTGGAATGCACTTGAGAGCCCGGCCCACACTAAATGAGCAATTGTTTTGAAAAGGACGAGATTATATAAGAATTCCCATTTTGCAATGAAATAGGTTACAAATATACACTACATACTTTATCTTGTAGCCCATCACTGACAGTTCAGAGAAACTTCCTAGTACAATACATACCTTAAAAATCTTTAGAAGAAGAATTTGGACTCATGAACAGGTAAGCTGGCAGGTGTTAACTGGCCTCCGGAAGGCAGGGTGACTGATGGTCATGTCTTCGAAGATAATATCTGAGTCTCTCACTGAGAACGATGAGCAAAGTTTTCACCTAACAAGTCTTTGATATGGATGACCTCATTCCTTTTCAGGGCCTGGAGGCTCTCCCAGCATGGCCCGGCACCCCGTCTTGTACCTCATCCTGCTGAGTGCTCTGATCGACAAGAGCCGAGCCTGCTTCTGTGATCATTTCCCGTGGAGTGAGTGGTCCAGCTGCTCAAAGACCTGCGACACTGGAACTCAGACCAGGTTTCGGTGGGTGTGAGCTATTAGCTTTTCCGGGTGCCCTGGGAACCTTGCGAACTGACTTAGCCATGTGAAAAGTGCCACACTCAGCAATGGGGGGAGAACAATGTATCTCAAAATAAGAACTCATGAATTTGGATGGAGTCTGAGGTCTTCTCCACGGAAGGTTGGATGGACGTCCACTTTTGTTCTCTCCATAAAACTGAGGAGTTTCAAAAAAATTTAATTAAGAATCTGTGCAATATTTTCAGTTGACTCTTTACTTAGAATCACTACTCAAGCTTTTTATTCGATCAGCATATAACTGCTTGCCACCAGTGAATGAGTTAATTACAGAGAATTTTCTGCTCATTAAATGGAGCCTAACAGGACTTCAACGGAGCAGCACTGCTAGCTATTAGCTTAACTGTTGGCATGAACGAGACAAGAAAACTGTAACAGTCAGTAATTCACCCTTTCCACCCATTCAGACTACTTGTGCCTGGCATCTTTGAAAAATCTGTTAGGTGTTTTTGTTCCATGGAGATGCTTGCGGGAGAAAGGCCTAAGCTCAATGTGTTTTCACTCTTATAGCACTTTCTAGAAACTTATTGTCGAAAGCTATTTTGCCTGTGTAGGGTGAGTCTCATTAAAATCACCGGTGGACTTCCCCAGTAAACCATCCACTAAGTATGTGAGAGCAGGTCTGTTGGTAATGCCCTTCCACTGGAGAGTTGAGTCCCTCAGCCGCTCTCTCATCGCCCACCAGGTCAAGTTCAGCAACAACTCCGGTCCCTCCCCACTGTGCCCACCACCAGCCCGGCCACAGGCCCCTCCGGGGACAGTGCTCCTGACCTGTCCTCCTGGCACAGGCCATGGCCCCCGCATGCCCTCCCTTTTGCAGCCAGGGAGAGAAAGTCACATGACTTTTTCGAAATGTAGCTCACCATCACTTTCTCTTTAACTGTTTGGCCCCACGCCACTCTGACTCCATCTCGGTCATTGTGCTTGTCCCATGGTGGTGTCATCATCTAAGCAGTTGGCAGAAACTTTCTCCTTTCCCTTCTCTCGTCCAGTCTCTTCCAGGGATTCCATCAGGGCCAGCTTCATGGCGTGGGACCCAGACCGAGAGGGCTTCACGTTTGGCCATTGCTCTACCATCACCGTCTTGAAATTATTAATGTTTTAACAAGAGGCTCCCCCTCCCCCCGTTTTTTATTTTGCACTGGGCCCCATAAATTATATACCTGGTCCTGAGCTCCATGAAGTGGTAAGAACCGCACTTATGCCCACCGACCTGATTTCTCCTGAGAACCTTCTTGCCTTTCACTCACTGGAGTTGACACCCAGTGATGATTTTCTTACCGGGCTGGTGCCACCGTGAATACGCTCATTCCAAGCAGATTTTTTCCTCACCATTACAGACGAGTAGTCATGAATAATTACTACGTGGAGAACTCCTGTGGCCAGCTGTGCACGTTCGAGGAGACCAGAGAATGTAACTGGAAAGCTTGTCCTATCAACTGCCTCCTGGGAGATTATGGGCCATGGTCAGACTGTGACCCTTGTGTTAAAAAACAGGTAGGTGACACATGGACACATCAGGAAATCTGAATCACAGTAAAAACACTCGGATTCCCTGAAAGGCTCAACAAATGACAGATCAAATGACAGAAATGCTGAATTTCTTCGATTCCTGAAAATAAACGTTCCCACTTTCCATTGGGGGAAATTTTCATTTAGCAATTTTTTGAGGGCCGGTGGGGGCGGGGTGGGAGGATTCCTTTTCCATGTTTCACTGTTGTAGGACCACCAAAGGGAATTCTGTCCCCCGTACCCACATTGCAAATGCCCAGGTCTGTGCCCTCTGAGAACGCAGGAAGCCAAAGCAGGTGCTAAAGAGTGAAGACTTCAGTCCAAGGTTTAAAAATCAGACAGAAATTTGGAACGTGAACCAGCTCACCCTGCCTCTTCTTTCCTGTGGGAAAGTCCCTGGATCTGTTTATTGTTCCCGCTGCAGTGTTTACCCACAAGCTTGATCCTGTAAGGACGTCGCCAGTGAACCCGTCAGGGCGTTCACATGCACGGGAGGAGAAGGAAGCTCATTGGCAGAGCACCCACTCTGAGCTAAACTCTTCTAGGCCCTACATTCCTCCTCGTTCACACTTCTCGCCACATGGTGATTTTCCACCCATTTTACAGACGAGGGAGTTATGCGCATTAGGAGTTAAGTAATTTGCTGTAGAATACAGTACTAATGAATATAGAGCTACATTCTGAACTCAATTTTTCTGACACCAAAGTCAGTACGTTTTTTAAAAATGGCTTTCTTTCTTTCAATTTTTATTAATTTATTTTGTTACAGATGTTTCTCCTTTTCCCCCCTAGACACCCTCCTCCTCATCTAGCCCCTCCCCAGCCCCCCAATATTGTTGTCTATGTCCATTGGTTATGCATACATGCATATAAGTTCTTTGGTTCATCTCATCTATCCCCCCCTCCTCTGAGGTCTGTCAGTCTGAACCGTACTCCTTTCTATGTCTTTAGGTCTATTTTGTTCATCAACCCACCTTGTTCATTATATTCCACATATAAGTGAGATCATGTGGTATTTGTCTTTCTCTGATCGGCTTATTTTGCTTAGCATAATACACTTGAAGTACCTCCATGTCATCTCAAAGGATAAGAGATCTTTCTTACAGCTGCGTAGTATTCCATTGTGTATATGTACCACAGCTTTTTTATCCACTCGTCTAATGGACACTTGGGCTATTTCCAGATCTTAGCTATTGTAAATAGTGCTGCTATGAACATAGGGGTGCATATATTCTTTCTGATTGGTATTTCAGGCTTCTTAGGATATATTCCTAGAAGTGGGATCACTGGGTCAAATGGCAGATCAATTTTTAATTTTTTTTTTAATCTTCACCTGAGGACACTTTTCCATTTTTTGCACAGACAGAGTGGGAGGGAGAGAGAGGAAGGAAGAGAGAGAGAGAAACATCAACGTGAAGGGACACATCAAGTGGCTGCCACCCGCACGACCAACCAGGGCCGGGGACAAACTGCAACTGAAGTACGTGCCCTTAGCGGGAACCGAACCCGGGTCTCTCGGGACCGCAGGCCGACGCTCTAACCGCTGAGCCAAACTGGCCAGGGCTCAATTTTTAATTTTTTGAGGAAACACCATATTGTTTCCATAGTGGCTGTACCAGCAGTGTACTAGATTCCCCTTTTCTCCTTTTTTAGAGAGTGAGGAAGGGAGAGTGCGAGGGAGATAGAAACATCAGTGAGAGAGAACATCAATTGGCTGCCTCCTGCAGTCTTCCCACTGGGGATTGGGCCCATAACCTGAGCATATGCCCCAACTGGGATTTGAACCCGCAACCTGTTGGTGCATGGGTCAATGCTCAACCACTGAGCCACACCAGTCGGGCATAAAGTCAGTACTTTTTAATGCTGTCATAATTCTATCCTTCCCTGACTCTCTATTCTACCACCCACCCTTTAAAATCATTCAAAGTGTAGAGAATGCGTCAATCTTGGTTTCCATGGTGACTTCCTTGTGCAAAAGAACTACCAAATCCTTTCACATTTATCATTCACATCACACTGTCTTTGAGATATAGAAGGGCTATTATTATCACCGGGAAGAATCTGCACTCAGGAGACACTCAGTAAATATTTGTGCATTAGATTTTGATTTAATTTAGAATCATATGATTTTAGAGTTGGAAGTCTTAGATATCTTTTTGCCCCACTTCCTCATTTTATGGAAACTGGGGCCCAGAGAGGTGATGACTTCCTTAAGAACACACAATAATGAAATCAGAAAAATCATTAGTTCAGGAAACACCACTATAGTATAAATCACTACTGTGACTGAGAAGCCTAGTTTTCTTAGATGTATTTTAGCTTTAACCCTGCCTCAGAGTTACTCATCTTCCTCTCTTTTTCTTTCAGTTTAAGGTTCGATCTATTATACGCCCCAGTCAGTTTGGAGGACAACCGTGTACGGGGCCCCTGGTGAATTCCCAACCATGCATTCCAACTAAACTTTGCAAGATCGAAGAGATCGACTGCAGTAATAAATTCCGTTGTGACAGTGGTAATGTACTTTTGGAACATGTTCAGCCTCCACTAAAAATGACTTGACTAATGTAAAGTTATTCCAATAGACTTCAGCAATAGCTGTGGTGGAGAAATCCCACCATATTTTAAGCACGAGAAGATGGAGGTGTTGTGCTACCAATTAGCAAGCTATTCATGTGTGAAATTATAGCTTTCAAGCTATAACCATCCTGACCACCTACCTGATCCATTTGCTGATGAAGTATTGGTGCCCAGGTTCCTACCCTTTATAAAGCAGGAGGAAGAAACAGGAAGAGGAGGAAGAAAAGGAGGAGGCAGATACTTTTAAAAGTTAACTATTAATAAGCACAAATCTATAACCAGAATAAGCAATTGAAAAGGAACAATAGATTTTAAAGATTTTTATATATAGTTTATTAAGCTAAGAATATTAATATTGATATCATGTCAGGGGGATGATTAGCGATGAAGTGACGACTTTTCTGGGGTGGTCCATTGAATGTCTCCAAAGGTAATTCCAAGAAAAGAGACTGAAAATGATTTAAGCAATGGCAGTGTTCCCTTCAAGTCCAACGTTCATTCAGATTTGTAAATTCAGTTATGTTTCACTAGACTCCTCTATCAAATATTGAATACACTACTAATCGACGTATTTTCTTGCTAATGAATAGGTCTTCAACGCTCACCCTTTAGAACAATCTAGATCAGATTCCTGCAAATTTTCTTAGTAAAGACCCAGGTGGTAAATATCTGAGGCTTTGCAGGTCATAGGTCTATGTCGCAACTACTCAGCTCTAGCATCTTAGCATCACAGCTGCCCCAAACAGTGTGTGAACAAATGAGCATGGCTGCGTTGTTCAATAAAGCTTTATTTACGAAGACGAGCAGCAGGTCCTTTTTAGCCCATGGGTCAGAGTTCACTGACCTCTCACCTAAATAGTCAATTTGAAGTTAAATTTAGAGTTCAGATGAATACAATTTGCATCATTTCTGTGTACTCTGGAATGCACTGGGAAGTCAAGTACTTATAACTAGATAGCAGATTTCAAATTCTGTAGAAAATTGACCCCAGACCTTGGACCTAAGATCTTTCTCCTTTCACTCCTTGCTTCCTGCCTTCCGCTCTGCCAATCTTTTCTAAATGTCAGGCAGAAATGCTGGCGTCTGGGTTTTCCCTCTGTGCCCTGCTCCCCCAAACCTGGGAAAGAAGGTGGGACGAGGGTAGGTAAGGCGCGCATCGTGCCTATATGAACAAGCTCCTTGAGATGCTGACAGAAGAGGGTATAGGAGCAACAACTTGATGGCAATGGCTGAGGAGGCTACAGACCTAAGCATTATATCCAAAATATTAAGATAAAGGTTCAGAACTGAATTGTAACAATTTGAAGCTTGAAGGAGAGTTTTTAGAACAAATTACCAGGAAAAACTCCTTTATTTAATAGATGATAAACTCTATAAGATTTCCTGCAAGAGAGCTTTATTGAGGCTGAAAATATTCACAAGTCTGAGAAGGCTTTAAAGACATCTCTAGGCCACCAGTTCATAATGAACGATTTCAGGAAAGTTAGTGATATATAGTACACACATCTGATCACTAGTTCATCAGCAATATGTCCACAACCACTGATAAGAAACTAAACTATTGAGATGCATCTGCAATGATTAGTAAACAGCAGCTGCCCTGAGCTTCCTGAGCAACCTCTGCCCTCTTGTCCAAGTCCCTTCACCAGGAATCCCTAGATCTCGCCACGATTCAGCCATTCACCAGTTAATCCCTGGCACAGATTTAGTTGGGCAACCTTTCTGATTGGATGGTGCCATGGCCTACTGGTTAAATATTCTAATTCTATGCTCTTTTAAAAACATCTACTAATGCCACTCTCAAAGGGAATAAAAGGTTGAATGAACCACTATTTGTCTGACGCAGAATGATATTTGGCCCTCCGTTACCAAAGAACTGTCTGTCCTAAAGAGAGCCACCCTCTTCCTTCCCCCTCCGGTTTCTGTTCAGGGTCCTCCAGAAGTTCCCAAGACTGAGTATCTTTGCGAATTACCCATGAGGGTAACCCCCGTGGCACTGTCGACTTCTCTCCCAAAGTCCTCATTTTAAGCATAGAAGACTAGAGACTTCGCAGCTGGCTATAAAAACAATGTCATTTCATGTACAAAAATCAGTTCGAGTAGATAGGAGAAACGTGTAATTTCTAAATGATGACGTGGCTCCAGGTGTGAATGGATACGTATTGTGTATGTGCTGGCTAATTGCTGACTTCTGCAAATCCTGCTCTAGCCAGACGGCCCTTCGCCTCTCCTGTGTCCTCTTCGGGAGAGGATATGTGTGCGGCTTACAATATCCCTCCTTGGTCCTTCCCACTTCGTTGAGTTTCTGTGGCCTGGAACTATTCTAGTTCTGTCCCACCAGACCTATATCACACCTGCCCCTCGTTCCTAAACACCACTCAGGAGACGTCCTCTCGCTTTCATCCCTTCCCTGGCTAACAGTTCTTTTCCGATAGCTCCAGGAGTACAAATAGATGGAATTTCTTGTGTCCTAACAAATCTGGTACCTGCTCATGAAGCTAGGCTAAGGAGAACTGTATTCTGTGTGTGTATCCCTACTTCTGTTTGATAAAACAAGATTTTTTTTTTTTTTAGTGTAACCATATCAAAAATGAGCTCTTGCTCAAATTTGAAAGTACCAGGCTCAAATATTTTTAAAATATAGTATTTGGGGGGTTTTCTTTAGTAAAAGCTAATCTATTTCAAACTAAATTACCCATTCTGTTCTGCCCTGAAAACAAATAAATTAAAAAAACTAAAAATGTGCTTTTTTAAAAACAGACCATCTTTCAGGTTATATTCTTGGATTAATAGACATTCTATTCTCTCTATATCTTCAGTCTTGTATAATTCTGGGGTGCATAGCTATAATTCTTTATAATATTGGTCTATATACAATACAAGCTTCTGAATAATCAAAGAAGGACTTAATTACTTTCTTACACTCTACCTTCTTAGTGAAAATTATTAACCAAAAGAGCTGAAACTAAGTGCTCTCTGGGGAATTCTCTATTAATAATAATAATAATAAATGTATTCAACAAAATACCCAATTTCCCCAAACATTTTAGTTAGTCAAAAAAGTCACGCATAGCTATAGTGAGATGCTGGTCACAGCCTAGTTCACCAGATAATCTTGAGTAAAGTATATAATCACTGTCAGTGACACCTGCACATAACGGTAGAATACCAGCACCTCTGATTACAGGCACTTTCGTTTCTGTAAGATACAGTTACTGATGCCAGTGATCCTTATGAAATTCAGCAAGTTTAAAAGGGAAAGGAATTATCTAAGTACATGAAGTTTCTCCTATTTCCTAAACTCACTAACTTAACCTGCTACCTAATACTGCTACCTAACACCTAAGCATTTCACTTGTCCAAAAAAATAATTAGGTATGCTAAATTATATGTTATAAAGCAATTATATTCAGTAGTTATATGTAGTGACTATATACTAAAAAATGTTGTAATTATGTATAGTAAAATAATTGCGTAGAGTAAAATGCACAGATAAGAGTGCAATTTTATTCTGATGAATGTACACAACCATGTAAACAACCTCCAATCAAGATATAGAAAATATCCATAAACCTGAAGAAGTTCCTGTTTTCCTCTTTTCAGTTAATCCCTCTCCTTATTCTTTTTTTATTTTTTATTTTTTTATTATTTCATTTTTGTTACAGATGTTTCTCCTTTTTCCCCCATTGATATTGTTGTCTATGTCCATGGTTACTCATAGATGCATATGAGTTCTGTGATTTATCTCTTCCCTCCCTCCGATCCCCTCTTCTCCTTATTCTTGAACATCATATAAACAAATCACATGGCTCTTATATGTCTGGCTTCTTTCACTCAATGCAAAATTTTAGAGATTCAGCCATGGTACTATAGGTACTAGTGTGTGAGTGTGTGTGTGTGCGTGTTTAAAAATCACAGGTTTGTTTTTTGTTTTGTTTTGTTTTGTTTTGTTTTAATAAAACAGTGACGTTGAGGCTGCTATCCTGTCAGAACAAAATTCTGAACCTACTATTCATTTTATCTTGCAGAGCATGGTTTCTGCAGAAAGCCTACTGTAGTGGAAAGGAGATTCTAGACTTAACTCTCTTATGTAAGACAATCAGCTCCATGGTGACTAAATAATCTATGGTAACTTTTGAATCCAAAAAAAAAAAATAGGAGAAAATATCATCTTAACACTCCATTTCCATATGTTCCTAAATCTTCATCAAAAATAATGAAAACTGCCCTGGCCAGTTTGGCTCAGCGGTTAGAGCGTCGGCCTGCGGTCCGGAGAGACCCGGGTTTGGTTCCCGCTAAGGGCACGTACTTAGGTTGCAGTTTGTCCCTGGCCCTGGTTGGTCGTGCGGGTGGCAGCCACTCGATGTGTCCCTTCACGTCGATGTTTCTCTCTCTCTCTTCCTTCCTCTCCCTCCCTCCCATTCTATCTGTACAAAAAATGGAAAAATATCCTAGGATGAGGATAAAATAAATAAATAAATAATGAAAACTGCCCTGGCTGGTTTGGCTCAGCGGTTAGCGTGTCAGCGTGCAGACCAGAGAGACCCAGGTTCGGTTCCCGCTAAGGGCACCTACCTCGGTTGCAGTTTGTCCCCAGCCCCAGTTGGGGCCATGTGGGTGGCAACCAGTTGATGTGTCTCTCTCACATCGATGTTTCTTTCTGTCTCTTTCTTCCTCTCTCTCTCTCCCGCTCTATCTGAAGATAAATGCAAAAATGTCCTCGGATGAGGATAAAAAAATATTTAAAAAATAATGAAAACTTAGGTGGGTACTAGCCTTATTGGGCAATCACTTTGTGAGTGATGAAAGTGTCTAACCACTATGACATACACCTGAAACTAATATAATGTTATATATCACCTTGTAATTGAAAAATGTAATTTAAAAAAAAAAAAATCAACAGTCAAACATGATCTGGGTTGAGTCAGTTACCAAAACAATAATGAATAATGAAACCTTGCTTTCAACTTTTCCTTGGAATTGACAGCATGAATGTTTCAAATGACGAAACACTGTCTTGAGTGACCCGCTGTCTGTGTCGATTGTTGTCTTGGCCAGGCCGCTGCATCGCGCGCGCGCTGGAGTGCAACGGGGACAACGACTGCGGGGACCTGTCCGACGAGCGGGGCTGTGGCGGCAGGGCCGCGGCCTGCTGGCGGAGGTATACGCCCGTCCCTAAGGTCAACGTGATGAGCAACGGGTAAGTCGCATCTGTTCCTCATTGGAGGGAAGCATCTCAGAACCGCTGCGTGCAAAGCAGCAACGAAGCAGTGGGACGCGGCGCCTGCTTCCCCTGAACCTCTGAGCGCGCTCAGGCGCTGTCCCTGGCACGCGGCCCTCGCTCCTGGGCAGTGATGTTGTTTAGCATGTTCACCTCTGCCTTGCACCGGGCAAGGCTCTGGCCCCCTCGTCCTTGCTGCTTGCTTTCCTCCTCTGGCCGTTCTGGCGCGGATCGGGGCAGATGGGGGGGCTCGGTCTTGAGTGGAAGAGTCACACTCGGAAGTGCCGGAAGCGCGTGGAGAAGGGGGTGTCAGGAAGGTACGCCTGTGGCAGTGGGGGAGTCAGAACACCAGCAAGTGGTGGGAGGTCCAAGCCCTGGGTCAATCACGGGACACCAAGCAGGCAGAGAGGGCGAGCCACACACGGAAAAAGGGAATGATAAAAAACAATGGTGTGAGCAAGTTCAAAGAGTTAGGGGTGAAGTGAACATGGCTAGGGTATCCAACACTTTTTCTCATATAAACTATATGATGCATGGGAACGTCGGTACAATTTAAAGGCCAAAAGTCAGGCCTGCATTTCCATAAGGTTGGTGTTCAATTTACAACTGTGTCTCAGAAAGTTTCGATAACCTGGCCAAGTCTATGAAGTAGCAAATGGTGGAACCAGGATTCAGATCCAGGCGTCAAAACCCTGGTTATGTTCACCATTTCGTGCTAATTTAGGACAATAACCGCCTTAGCAATGGAAGAAACCTCAGGAGACCATGCAACCCTCATCCCAATCTCTGAACAGTGCTCAGAAAATCGAATAGTCCCATTTCAGAAATTCTGATGTTCCTCTTTCAAGTCATGAGGGCATTGGAGGTTTGGCAAGGGCTTCTAAATGCATGACACAGAGCCAGTGATGTAGAAGATGTAAGACAAGCCAATGAAAACAGAAGAACTGAAACTTAGTTGGAAGCATAAGAAAAATCAGTACAGATAATCTCCTGTTCCCATGACAAAGAAATTTCCCTTTGATTTTTGGCCAGAAGGCAAATAGTTTGCTATAGGCTTTTATTGCTCTGTATTGGACTTTTTTTTTTAAGTCTTTACTTACACTTGAGGCCCCAAAGACAAACAGCAGCCATTGCCAATACAGCCTCATTTGATCAGAATGAATACCAGAAGCTACTGAACCAACGTCAAGGACAGCCATAAAATGGAACAGCCATTAGCTAGGAAGTGAGGGGAGACAGGTGCAGGACCCAGCTCTGCATCAACTCACTACATCACAACCGCGTTATCCGCCGGCTACACTTTCCTCACTGTACGTTGGATGACTACAAACTTATGTGAGGTTCTGTCCTAGGAAGTGCTCATTCAAGTTCATTTCACTGGCAGTGTTTCAGCAGCATCTTCTTATCAATGTGCAGAAATGGCTTCCTTTGGTTTTTCTTCCCCTGGAGGGAAACCGCAGCCAGAGCTCCCACGTGATAACCATGTTTCCTAATGCTCTGGTTGATGAGGGTGACAGTGCAGACTCACCTCTGGCCCAGCTGGTCTAACTCTGGAGTCACAGATGGGGAGGACCCATGCTATGTGGACTTTCCCAGAAGGCTGTGTGGCCCTCTGCCAAGCACAGCGGCTGGGCCAGGGATTCTCAGAAATGAGCAAAGCCTGCTGGCTGGGGACAGTCCGCCCCCTCCTCGCCTCCCCAGGAGCGGAGAGCTTTGGGAGCTGCCCGCGGGAATCTTTCCAGTCTGCGGGCCTGAGACCCTCTGCCCTCTCTGACACGCTCTGCCCGCAACATTAGCTTCCTGGAGGATTGTGCCTCTTTTCAAATGGCATTCCCCCAAGGAAGAGTTTAACAAGCAGGACCACATTCCTTCATGGCCAGCATCAGGCTCCAGGTCTCAAACCTGGAGCAAGAATCGGGCAATATTAGCATGCTGTTTATTTTTCCTCAGGTTCAGTCAAGGTAGAAACACACACACACACACACACACACACATGCATGCAACATACAAGCATATATATGCAATTTTTTAATAAATTCAAAAAGTTACAAAATATGACACAGTAAACCAAATTGGATAAAAGCCCTTTAAAAAACTATAATATTAAAATCCATAATGTATTTGAAACACCAAAATATTTAAAGTCCCTTTAAATGCCAGAGGAGAGGAGAAAGAACGGGGCTGAAAATCGCTGCCCCGTTGACTGGACCCGTGAGAGCGTCCTCAGGCCTGGCCCGCGAGAGCCGCCTCCAGGAACGTCCTGTCTCAGGCTCTTTGCAAACAGCTGCCCCCTCCGAGCCTCCTCGTGACCTGGGAACCTTTTTTTTTTAAGCCCTTTCTTGTTTGCGACCAACTCATAAGTACATAGCAGAAGGCAGGGTAAGGTCAGTGGTTCTGTTTTCCTCGTTGATCCCTCTCAAGCCAGGAAATAAAAGCGAATGAGTCTGAAACATCTGTGTTGGTCGCGCTAACTTAAGCAGTTTGGAAATTGCTTCCCAGACCGGCTCCTCATACGTCCTCCCTCAAGTACCCATTCTGATACAAGTTCAAATACAAATGAGAGCACACCTCAAATTGTGCGCACGGCTCTCGGGGTACGAGGTGCATCTTCCAGAACCCACAGGAATCACTCCCTGCTTCGAACAGCCTCACTGGTCGCTAACTCGTGTATCAGTCCTCCTCCTGAGGGTACCTGCTTTACTCTCAAGCGCCACCACGCTCACACTTCTGACACCAGATGTGTGGGAGCTCTCCCCCACCAAGCACCCCTCGGTGACACCAGTGGGGTGTCCTGCAGTTTAACTCAATTCTGACACTATCTACCTGGATTTAGTGGTGATGCCACAGGTTAAGGGCTCAGTCCCACAAGACTGCCCCCCACTTTCGATGACACTTTAGCTGTGCTTCTGATACATTGGAGGTTCCCACAGACCCCCCCCCTTGGGTTTGGTTAATTTGCTAGAGGGGCTCACAGAACCCAGTAAAACAACTTGCTTACTGTTCACCGGCTTTTTATAAAGTGGATACAATAAAGGGTGCAGATGAGCATCCCGTCGGGAGGCTGAGAGGGGCATGATGTGTAGGAAGAGACTGAGTTTTCCTGCCCTGTCTGGGTGCGCCACTCTGCCGGCGCCTCTGTGTGTCACCAGAACAGAAGTTCTCTGAACCCTTTACTTGGCGGATTTGTTTGGGAGGCGTCATCATGCAGACGTGATCGATCTTTAACTCCATTCCCAGCCCCTCTCTTCTGTCCAGAGAATGGAAGGTGAGGCTGAAAATTCTAAGCTTCTGGTTAAGGCTTGTTCTTTCTGGTGACCAGTTCCTACCCAGGAGCCCACCAAGCGTCCCCTCGTTAGAACAAAGGACACATCGCACCTATGGATAGTAGATTTATCAGGGTGATTGCTTTGTAAGTTCTATAAATGCCCAATCACTATGTTGTACACCTGAAACTAGTATAGTATTTTATGTCAACTATAACTGAAAAATCAATTAAAAAAAAAAAAAAAGATACAGCTATCACCCAGGAAAACCCAAGGGATTTAGGAGCCCTGTGCCGGGAACTGGGGACAAAGATCATTGTACATATTTTCTACTATTTCACATATGTAATCCAGCATTACCAAACTTTTAGACACAAAACTTAGCCCTGGCCAGTTTGGCTCAATGGTTAGAGAGTCGGCCTGCAGTCCAGAGAGACCCAGGTTCGATTCCCACTAAGGGCATGTACCTTGGATGCAGTTTGTCCCCGGCCCTGGTTGGGTTGTGTGGGTGACAACCACTCCGTGTGTCCCTTTCACGTCAATGTTTCTCTCTCTCTCTCTCCTTCCAACTCTATCTGAACAAAATATTTGTATATATTAAGTGTCCTCGGGTGAGGATAAAAAAATAAATAAATAGATAGATACAAAACTTATTTTTCCCCCACAGAACACATATTGATATCTATAAGAATTTGGAAAACTGTTAGCATCTTGGAGGACTTTTTTATTTACCAGAAAATAATTCCTTAAATACTTGATTTGTGCTAAGCTAATTAATCTCTATGCTTCAATCTCCTCATTTGGAAAACAAGTATAATAATTATAACTACATCATATGGTTATCATAAACATTAAATATAGATCAAACAGTCCTTGACTTACAGTAAATAATATGTAAGCATTTGTTAAATACATTTTTAATATTATTTTAAAAATATTACTACAATTCTATTAAAATATTGCTGTGACTATTTTAGTACTAGCTTTCTACAAGAATTTCTGTACTGCGTGGTTCTGAAGGAAGTGGGCCTAGGATGGCATTAGTTATGTAACAATGTATTTCATAGTCTGCTTCCAAAGTTTGTGCTGGCTTTAGAAGTCATGAAATCATTATCAACCTTCATTTTATTTCATGTAGAAAGCCCATAACAACTAAGTGAGTGGAATAAGGGGACCCGGGCAGAACCAGAGGGGCTGAGTTTTTGCTTCACCACGGACTAGACAAAAAATATTGGGCTTTACTTCAAGTCATTTGTCATGAGTCAAAAATGTCTAAGTGAAGGATTTTTTTCATATAAGTAAGGTAAATTTTAAAGATTGCTTTACATTTATTGAATTCTTGAACATTCTTTTATTTCTAGGTTTAATGTTCTGGCAGGAGAGCCCAGAGGAGAAGTCCTTGATCACTCTGTCATTGGAGGCAAATGTAGAACTGTCAAAAGCAGCAATGCAAGTAACCCTTACTGGGTTTCGGCTATTCTGGAAAATGTCAACTTTGAGGTAGGACAGTCCATCACGGTGGCATGCCAGTGCCAATGGCCACTGTAAGCTAAATTTCAATGAAAGGTTAGTGATGAATGAAGGGACAGAATAAAAGGTAATGAACATTTTTAATGACCTGTTATGTGTTAGTGGTTAGTCCTTCCACAACCCCGTGAGGTCAGTATTAGTATCATCTATTTACAGAAAAAACAAAAACAAAACGAAGGTAATTAATTTGCCCAAAGTAAACAGCTAGTAAGTAGCAGATTAGAGACTCAAGCCCAGGTTCTGCAAACTCCAGAGTTCATGCTCTCCCCGTGGACATCCATAGCTGGGTCATATCCCCACACAGAAAATAACGGTGTGACTTATTCAGAGTCCCCTCCTACCATAGCTGATTCTCTCGGGTAACCACTAAATTTAGACATAACAGAGTGCTTGCCTTCTAAAAAGTCAAATGAATCTAAGTATCAAGTGGGTAGCTCTGCCTCCTTCCTTCCTATTTTATTAGTTCATTTGGTTTCCTGTGTGTTTTTCTAAGTGGTAATGGGCATCATACTATGTACCCCCAGAATCTAGCCCACTACCTTGCTCCATACTTATTGAACTAAACTACTTCTTTTAATTTATGATAAGAGGAACAGAAAAGACAAGGTTTTAAGGCTAACACGCATGCATGCAAATTGACATGCCAGAGAGAATTTCAGGAGGTGGAGTGATTTCTATGGCCAGGTTGTGGAGAGATGAGCTCAGCAAAGGTCATTCAACCCTTTTCTTTAAAACAGCTTTTATGTGCATATAAATACAGGCATTTTCCAATTTAATAAACTCAATTTAACACCATGCAATACATGTTCATGGTGTGGGGAATACCCTTAGGGCCCAACTGCCAAATTCAAACACCTTCTGGGAGCTTTACCTTGAGAAACCTCATCTCTGCCCGAAGGTAGAAGTTCGAGACTAGCAAGTGACTCTGACCAGGTAAAGGACTATGCAAAGGGAGATGCTAACCCCAGAGGGTGGAAAAGGTCATGCAGGCACGGTAAGTAGTAACTCAGAAGAGACTTTCCCAAGGAATCAATAGCCTCAGCAGTCCAGTCGGTGAGGTGCTCTCTTAAGATTGATTGTATTGAATAGGCTACGTAGACAGAGCCGAAACCCAAATATTTGCACATAATATTGTTCTATTGGAGGATACTTTCTAGCTCTCAAACAACCAATCCATAAGCTTACTTGCAAAATACAATAATTTAAAAAAATTACTGTCTACATTTTCAGCATGTATTTCATGCAATTTTACTAGTCAGAAAGCTTAAACTCAGCATTCAAGGTTAGGATAAATTTGGGCTTAGGTAACATTTCACATATCCAGGATACTTTAGAGTTTTCAGAGCTCTTGCATAGATTGTTTTCTTCAGTTCCTCAATTCCTCTAACAGCCTTTCCAGAAAGGTAGAAAATTCCCTTTGGGCTCCTTGCAGACAGAAAACATTCTGAGTTGTGCAGCAAGTAAAAGGCAGAACAAGCTTAGCATCCCAGCTCCCGCTTCAGCGCCGCCTGTGCTACGTGAGACCTTGATGGTTATATCAAGAGAGACATAACCATTGTGCCGTGTGTGCCAGGTCTGCGTGTCTTTGGTAAACTATCATTTTAAAGGTATCACCAGTGGAACTCCCCAATGGAGCCAGGTCTTCCAGCTTACAAGAGCCAATTGTTAAATCTTCAGAGGTTTTGCAAGCCAACTGTTAAACATAGCCATTATTAAATATTAAACATGTAATCTTACAATTGAATAAAAATATTAACAACATGGGTGACAATTATTCAAAATGTATCACTCCTGAATGGTGGTGTTCCATTTTGCTATGGCTTATGCTCCTGAAGTCACCTTACCTCTGTTCCATGTGTATCATGAAAATACTGTATAATAATTTGCTACTGTGTCATTTCCCAAATTGGAATTCAGAGGCACTGCGTAGCTTGAAATCAGCTGTGGTAGGAATGTATCCACCATGACAAAAGGCAAATGCTAGAGTAAATCGTGGTATTTTTCCCCTCCCAAGGAGTTGGTTGTTAAACATTTACCAGAAGACTTTGGATCCCCCCATGTAACTTGGTAACCCAAGCCTAGAAGGCCAGTTGTATCAGGAAAAACAGCCTGAAAATCCTCATTCAGAGTAGACTCGTTGCATTATCAGTGTAGTTCTAAACCTTGTCCAAGCTGAAGAAGCTGCATGAGCTGATCTCTAACTGCATGTCATTGAGGTCTAGGTGATATTCAACTGCTGAGGACGGTCATGGTGCTATGTATGTCTTCAAACAATGATTTGGAGATGGCCAGACACAAAGTCACCAGCACTAACTGTTGGGTTACTTTTCACTTATTTCTGTATTACTGTTTATGCCTTTAGCAGGCGTGTGCAAATCTAAGCTATACCTTACTGAAAACATAGAGGAAGAGAGATTCAGCAGGCATGTGACTTCCCTTCTCCTACAGTGTTGGAGTTGAAGACATGATATAATGGGCTGGTTGTAGACAGGCTCCTGGAAGAGGGTAGGGAAGGGAAGGCATAGGACAGGAAGTCAGAACAGAGACCACAGGAAGGATTCCGCCCCTGAGGGGTCCCCCAACTGCTGAATGTGGAGCTTCACCCAAGATCCCTGCACCAGTCCCCAGAGCTATACCACCCTCGTGCAAAGCCTTCTTGAATCCCTTGTAAAATGTACAACTTTGGGTTGTTTCTAACCCTCACGACACAGGAAACCAAGTGCCACCCTGTCCCCTCCATTCCCCCTAGTTTCTCTTAACTTGCTTCTGCCTCTGCTTACAAACTCATCTTCTTTCTTCAAACACAAAAGTAAAACTGTCAATGCATCCGGAGCCCCAAGGGTCCATCAACCCACAAGATACATAGAGATCAGTTGTCAAGATGGGCTCAGGGAGCCCTGGCCAGTGTGGCTTAGTTGATTGAGCATAGTCCCATGCACCAAAGGATCGCCAATTTGATTTCCAGTTGGCGTACATGCCCAGGTTGCCGGTTCAATCCCCAGTCGGGGTACCTGATTGATGTTTCTCTTTCACATCGATGTTTCTCTCTCTCTCTCATTCTCAAATCAATTTAAAATATATATATATTTTTTTAAAGTGGTAGGCTCTGGGAGAAACTTGCAATATGTAAAATGGGGATTGAAACCTCTTCCCCAGAATTTGTTTAACATCTCTTGCTGGGAAACTCTAGAAAAAATGAAGTTTATCAACACCTACCAGCTGTTCCTTACACACCACTAAAAGAATTCATCTTCCTCCTTCCGAAAGTCGCCTTGGCGCTCGCCATTCTGTATTCTGTTTCATGGAACATCCCCCTTCTCTCCTCCCTGCCCATGTTAGATGCTCGGTCCGGTGCAGTGCAGTATCGGAAAGTAACATTGAACTTTTGACTGTATTTTACTATTGAGCAAGACTGTTTTGCAGATGAGCTATTTTCTCTTAGCTTGACTAATCGTGCAAGCTGTTTAATTGTGACCTGTGGTTTGCCTCACAGTGTGTTTGAATACTGGATGTTCTAAAACAACAAACAACAAGAGGTTTTTCCATTGCAAACCAGACAAGCATCTTTAACATAAAGAACTATTCTTTCATTTCCTTCGCAACCTTTTTCTTGGACGTTTATCCTGTTTTCTTCTTACTAGCATAATCATAACAAGAATTTAACTCATATTTAAAATACACTCCACTCAGCTCAAGTCCCACTGCCTTTTTCTCTTCTTCCCAGACCAAATCTGGGAAGCTGACCACCCACCACCCACCAGGCAGAACGAACTGATCATTTGTCCTCTGCTCTGCAGACATGGCCAGTAGAGCGCTGAAGCCCAGCACTGACTACAGCTAAGGGGATGAGGATGATACCAGAGCAGGAACAGACAGGACCCGCCCTCTCCTTTTCTAGGCCTTAATTTTCTGAAAGATACCTGAAATCAGATAGCAAACTGCATCAAGTTCACAAGCAGACTAAAAATAGTCCTCCTAACTCATAAGCCCATTAAATCTCAGCTTGGGAGTCATTTCCTTGAGCTAAACTTTCCTGATATTTTCTTTCTGGGTTTTATAGTTACTGACGGCAATTCCATGGGCAGCACAATACTTCCTATATTGAATTAAGTATCTGCGATTGTCTTTCTCCCTGACTAAACTATTGACTCCCTGTGAGCAGGAACCAATACTATTCCATATTCTCTAGCAAAATGAGTCTTCAATGAAGATTTATTGAACGCATAAATGAATGATCATTGCATTAGATCTTTACAAGTAGCCCCAACATTTCCTAAATTCTGTTTTATTTCATATGGATTTTTCTCCAGGTAGAGACTAAAGAGGATGATTTGAAAACAGATTTCTACAAGGATTTAACTTCATTTGAAAAGACTAAAAATAAAAAAAACTCCGAATGGAGCACAGTGAACAGTGGGTTTCGAGTGCCGATTTTTTATTCCTCGAAGCAACAGCAGTACTCCAGCCAGAACTCTGCCTTCAAACAAGCCATTCAAGCCTCCCACAAAAAGGTAAGAAAAATGGTTCCTGGGCCTCTCATTCTTTCCTGAAAATTAATGGCAATTCCAGGGATCATACAACAAGAAGGGGAGAGTTTGCGCGTCCAATCAGTAGTATTTCTACCTCCTATTTGAATAGCTTTAGTGTTCTCTCCGTGGTCGTTGGTTTGTGTCTCTTTGCAGGGTGTATTTACCGCTACACTTTGCTTCTTACCAATACAAAAATTACAGAGGTGATATGTATAATGATGGGGCAGTGTTTATGGTTGTTTTCTTAGCCTTCACTGTTTTACGTGTATGTGTTTCTCATACACCACACGTCATAGAATTGTACTTTTTCAATGTAATCTGGCAGTCTTCGGCCTCTGCTAGGGAAATTCAGCCAATGTGCAATTAGTGTACTCACTGAAACACTTCGTCGTCTTTCTCCTACTTTTAATTTTCCTACTTGTTTCACTCGGTTGCTGTTTCCTGCTTTTTTACTTTGACCTCCTTTGTCATAATTCTATCTATTCCTTTTATCTTTCTGGTCATTTTGGAAGTTCTACTAACTTCACAATTCTGCTTGTAGTCATCTCTGCCTCGTTATACAGCATAATAATACCTATATTTTTCTTTTCTTTTAATGAGATGAAATCCTTCTTCTCATTTAATCATCAGATTTTTATTATTATCCTCAGGTAGGAGGCCTGCAAGATATATTCCCTAAGTGCATAGAGTAGATCAAAAAATGCCTAAATTTTCTCTGAGCAATAAAGATAGAGAACATCTTGGTCAGCTATGGAATGTGGAATCATAGTCCTCCTCCCCCGCTGGTGCATAGATGTCATGCCACTGTCTCCTAATTTACATTGTACGGAGGGAAACAATCACATGTAGAGCTGATTTTCTCTCTTTCATTCTGTCTGGAAATTTAAAAAAATCTTTTTAATCCTCACCCGAGACATTTTTGCATTTATCTTCAGATAGAGTGGGAGGGAGAAAGGGGGGAAGGGAGAGAGAGAGACATCAATGTAAGAGAGACACATCGACTGGTTGCCATCCACATGACCCCAACCGGGGCCGGGGACACACTGCAACTGAGGTACGTGCCCTTAGTGGGAACCGAACCCAGGACTCCCTGGTCTGCAGGCCAATGCTCTAACCGCTGAGCAAAACTGGCCAGGGCTACAATTTTTTACACTTAAAATTTAGGTTGGGCTTTTCCCATTAATCTTGCCAGGAACTCATGGACCTCTTTTACAAGTAAAGACACATCTTTCTCCATTAACCTTTCTTCATCACATCCTGCTCCTTCTATTATTTGCATGTTAAATCTCCTGGAAATGTCTTCCAACTCTGAAACCATTTAGGGGAGAGATTTTTCTACCAGGCATTTACAAGTCTCTTTTGAAAGAGTATCTGTTCCTCCCCACAGGCACCACTCTGAGCAGGGCTTGTTGTTCCAAAGGGATGACTCGGGGGGCTGAGCGGAGACCGCACGTGAGAGCAGAGAGGGAAGCGGGTTCCGGCGCCTGGGGCAGCACGTTATGGCTCCTCTGACTTCACCATGGGGCCCTCCCCATGTCTGTCTGTTCACGCGTCCGTACGCTTGTACGAACATGAGGCCCGTAGCACTCTATAGGTGCATTTCCTAAGCGTTTCATTATCTTCCAAAGAACCCTAAGAGGTAACGAGTATTTTTAACACCATTTTGCACATAAGTAAATTAAGGTCCGTATAATTCTGTTTAATTCCTCACACATTTGTCAGACACCTGACATGCCAGGTGCTACACTCAAGTCCAGGACGCTAAGCGGCTTCTGTGATGTCACTGTCATCGACGCCAGAGCTGGGCACTGACATCAGCGTGTCGGCTTTTGTTCACTATTCTTACCCACTGCATTGCACTCGAAACTATCTGCTTAATCGTTCGTTCGTTCATTCATTCGTGTATAGTTTCAACAAACTTTGAAAAGAGTACAACTCTGATATGAACATAAGAAAAAAAATGAGAATAAAATAGACTCCTTTTAGAAGATCAGATAGCTAATTCAGTTGAAATAGACTGTGGGTCACATTGTGTCCCCCAAATTTATCAAGTTACATTCTTAAGACAAGTTAGTATCAGAATTACGAGGAAGTAAAAATACGTCACCACCCCCACCTCCACCCAGGTCCCTCCCTGAACTTACTGATTCAGAATATCTAGGATTGGGCATGTGATTCTGGTTTTTTGTTTGTTTGTTTATTTATTTAATCCTCACCCAAGGACATTTTTGCATTTTTATCTTCAGATAGAGCGGAAAGGACAGAGAGAAACATTAATGTGAAAGAGACACATCAAGTGGTTGCCACCCACACAACCCCAACCCGGGGGCAGGGAGGTGACAAACTACAACCGAGGTACGTGCCCTTAGCGGGAACCGAACCTGGGACTCTCTGGTCCACAGACCAACGCTCTGACCGCTGAGCCAAACCGGCCAGGGCTGGTTTATTTTTTTTAAGTCCCCCAGCTCACACTGATAACATATCCAGGACTGGAAATCACTGCCAAAAAATATAGTCAAATGGGAAAGGAAATGGAGATGTTGGAAGATATGTATATATTTATCTTGACATTAAGATTTGCTTTAGAGAATGGGTTTATAAACGTGGTGTCAAACATGCTAGAAACCGGGACACGTCTCTGTAGGCAAACAGCTGTTAATTGACCCTCCACTAGTCTGCCCTCTAGTGGAAACATTTAGGGCGATTGCAGTATCAGATTGAAACACGAAACCTCTGCTGTTGAACCACTTCTGATTTACAAAATTCTCGACTTCTTACGGTTCGACCTAACATCATAATTGTGGTCGTTGATTAAATCCAAACAGAATAAGGAAATCTCGGTCTAAGCAGGAAATTCTACTGCAACCTCTCCTAGTCTTCAAATAGTGAAAACAAGTTCCCACAAATTCAAAAATCCATCCAAACCCTTCAGTGGAGCTTAGTGCTTTATTTATTAATTTTGTCAATCACAGATCTGGCTAAATATATTTGTTGGGCATATAGTCTGTTTCAAAGTCAAAATGCCGGTTTTCTCAGTAAGATTTAGTGCTTTTCTGATTTGCTTTACCAAAAAAGATCTCACAGAATGTTGTACTGGATTATACATGGTTAATACATAACCTACTATCATGTAATTTTTTAGTCTAAAATAACCAATTCAAGCCATCATGCAGGCCGAGTGAAGTCCCATGGAGGTGCTGTGCTCAGCAGAATCACCAAAATGTCATTTGTATTTTCCACAATTTGGTTTTCTGGAAATTGTGAACCCCTCATTTCAGTGCCCAAATCTCAATAGGCATTTCAGAGTCTTGGGGAGCGATTCCACTGGTTATTAAAAGCACAGTCCCCTCTAACTTTCAAAGCCGTGGTTCTCTGACAACATTCAGGTTCCAAACTTACCAACAGAACTGATGGGCGCTGGAGATGTCAGCTCCACCAAGGCACGAACTGTGCCTCGTTCCTTCTGTACCCTCAGTACCTGAGATAGGAGAGCAATACATGTATCGGAGGCAAGAAGGTAGGAAAGAGGGAGGAGGAGAAGGAGAAAAGAGAAAGGGAAATGGGGGGGTGAATGATGACTCTTTTTCAATCCTTGTGATTGCTGTTTTCCTTTTGTGTTGGCAGCCATTCTGTGCCATAATTATAGCGCACAGGAAAATAGCTGTTTAATAATTTACAGCTACACAGAGTTCTTTTGCCTAAATATGCTCCTCTTTCTGTTCCTTTTGCTCAAACACTACAATTTGCTAAACGTGAGAGCTTGGATAAAGTATATACAAATTTTAAAAAACAGTTACATGGATACACGTATAAAACTCAGTGGCTATGTAGAAGGAAGAACAATTTAATGAAATGAGATTTGGGGCACAATACTAACCACCTAATCCTAAATCAACCTGATATAACAGAAAATGATTTTTAAATAAACTTCAAACAACTATTTTTGCTTATGGGTGGAGGAGAGAGAATGCAAATAATTTCAGTTAATTTGACCTCTTAGTCATTTTGAATCATGGCATTTTGGTTGATGCTATGTTGAAGGGGTGTGAAAAATCATGGTACACAGGCCTCTTCTGTGCACCAGGTGACATTTCCCAGGTAACTAAGGCGCAGAGAATTTATAAACTTTTCCCCAGTTAGTGACAAAGCTATGACTTGAGTCTCAGTTGCATAACTTCCGATTGAAAATTTGTTGCATAACCCTTTTTCAACTATTTGCATTAGCAAGTCTTTCTAAATAAAAACTCAGTAGGGCCCTGGCCGGTTTGGCTCAGTGGTTAGAGTGACAGCCTGCAGACCAAAGAGTCCCGGGTTCGATTCTGGTCAAGGGCATGTACCTCAGTTGCGGTTCGTCCCCAACCCTGGTTGGGGTCATGAGGGAGGCAACCGTTTGATGTCCCTCTCTCTCTCTCTCTCTCTCTCTCTTTCTCCCTCCCTCCCTTTCACTCTATCTGAAGATAAATGAAAAAAACATCCTCGGGTGAGGGGGAAAAAAACAACAACTCAGTCGGGATGCAGCCGTGACTGGCAATCAAGGAAAAAGATTTACTTTCCCGAGAATCGATCCCTCTTTGGCAGAGAACATACGCCTTAGTCTCCCAGTTGACGTTGAGATAATCTCATAGGGTTTAGCACTTTGAACATCTCAGGAAAAGGTACTGGATAGTAAAAAGAAAACCTAATTTTGCGTGTGAGAACACACAGTAGAGAGTTCAAACTGTTGTAAAAGCAGATTGAAATGAAGCTAAGGACGAACAGATGCCGTCCAGGTGGGTGCTTGTCACCCAAAGACAAGCCTTCATCACCCTTCTTTTTCCTCTTCCCCCCTCTTCCGTTCAGGACTCCAGCTTTATTCGGGTCCATAAAGTGATAAAAGTCTTAAGCTTCTCGATGAAAAAAAGTAAGGACCTGCCGCTCTCCAATGTCTTTTTTGAAGCGCTCAGCCACCTGCCTCTGGAATACAACTATGCTGTGTACAGCCAGATATTCGAGAACTTCGGGACTCACTATTTCACTTCGGGCTCCCTGGGAGGCATGTATGACGTCCTCTATCAGTACAGCCGCGAGGAGCTGGAGAACTCGGGTAGGCTTACGTCAGCCCCGTTTTCATTCCCTGCTGCGATCTCTGTCTCTCCCTGGACCGTTTTCATTCTTTTGTATTAGCTTCCTTTAGACCCTGATTTATTTTCTTTCTTTTTTTTTTTTATCCTCACCCAAGGATATTTTTCCATTTTTTGTACAGATAGAGCGGGAGGGAGAGAGAGGAAGGGAGAGAGAGAGAGAAACATCGACATGAAGGGACACATCGAGTGGCTGCCACCCGCACAACCAACCAGGGCCGGGGACAAACTGCAACCGAAATACGTGCCCTTAGCAGGAACCGAACCCGGGTCTCTCCGGACCGCAGGCCGACGCTCTAACCGCTGAGCCAAACTGGCCAGGGCGAGACCCTGCTTTATTTTCAACATGATACGAAGACCAACCAAAAAGTAGGAAGTCAAGTAAATAAAACAAAAAATAGAAAATTAGGACCTAAAGAGAAGGAAAAATAAATATACTTCACACCTTTGATGGGGCCCCAGATTTGTCCCCGAGTTCCTTGACATTCAGGAGCATCAGAAACCCACAGTGGTGGGACCTAAAAAGAAATACGTGTCCCCTTTCCTCCAGGAAAACAAGATCGGTCCTGGAACTGAATTCGAAAGGATCACTTGCTGGTAGCATCTGGATAGGCAATAATGATTTTACAGGGCAATAATTCCAGAAAATTCACCAGCCGTCTTTTTCTTTGGAGGATTTTTCGCTAAACACCAAGGGTTTAAAACAAAAGAACAATTCAGGCCTTGACAAGGGGCTGAGTTCGTGTGCACCCTCTGGTGATAAAACCTGAAACCAGGTGAGAAGCACTCTTGTTTGAGGCAACTGCTCATCTTGGTACATAATCCTACATAAAATAATAATATAAACCCTAATTTATAAAGAGATCTTGGTTTCTTAAGCATTATCTCAAATTGTAAATATTAATTATTATTACAGCTTAAGCATCTTTGAAGTAATTTGTTTTCAGACCCCGGTGTGAGCTGGCACAGGCCCTTGTGATGATTCTATCACATGTCTCTTGAGAACATGGGTAAGAACCTGAATGGTAACAAGAATTCAACTGACCAGTTCCCCCAAGTCAGTCATAATTCTTGACCATGTGACTTTATACAACAGGAACAAGGAATCTATTTAAAAAGACAACATCAGAGTGGATGGAGTGTCAAATGCCTCTGTTCCTACATCTCATAATGGCAAATACTAATGTTTACTGTGGTTGTCTTGAGTCCTTCCAAATCTTAAGTGACCAGAGATCCCTCCTGACTTGTTTCCTTAGAGAACAGATGGGATAAATGTCTTTGAGAAGAACTTTTAGTAAGAGGGTCTCAAAATTATTTTCACCTGACCCAGCCGGTGTGGCTCAGTAGACTGAGCATTATCCCATGGGCCGGGAGGTCCCGTCCTATACCCGGTCAGGGCACATGCCCGGGTTTCGGGCTCAATCTCCAGTAGGGGGCGTGCAGGAGGCAGCCAATCAATGTCTCTTCTCTCACATGGATGTTTCTGTCTCTCTCTCCCTTCCTCTCTCTCTAAAAAATCAATAAAAACATATTTTGTTAAATTGGTTTCACCTGGCGGAGGTAGTGAACTGGAAAAGATTTATGCTGTGGTGCACTTCCCACGCCGCCTCACCCCCTCGTGTTTATCTCGGCGCTTTCCACTGGAGCCATGTCTGCATGAGGCGCTGGCCGTCTGACATCAGCATCAACGTTAATGCTGACAACATTACTGTGGCGGCCATCTCCAGCCCTTGACTGGTTTCATTCACCCTTGGGATGAAATTATTCTGGTCCCTGCTTCTCTGGCTCAGAGACTCATTTCTGACCGGAGGAGCTGTCCTCACACATTCAGAGCCAAGCCTAAGGCTTAGAGAGCAGATCAGTAAAAGAACGACGTGAATCTTTAATCAGCCCTCCAGCGTTTCACTAGCTGAAACACCATGACCCGGGTGAAGAGTGATGAGCTAGACTTCCCTAACGGAACGTTCTCGCCTTCCATCTCTTTCTCTGTAAATGGAGGTACAGACTGGCCCATACTAAGGGAAAGAAAGGGAGTTTGAGATGTGATAGAAAACTGGAAATATAAAATCATACACACCTGTGTACATATATACAAACACACACACACAATATATATACACATATATATGTATATATATATATAATTTGTAGTGTGTGTATATGTATATTCAATGGAGTCAATAAAGGATATTCTTATATTCAATGTTCTTATATATAATATAAATCCTCATGTTCAATGAGTGTATATATTTATCTCTCTGAATCACAATAATAATATTGGTGCACAATTTTAATTGTGATTAAGTTGAAGCACACTGAGATAGAAATGCATTTTAATGAAATGGAATTCTCCAGGGGGTGTGCTTACCTGTTTTTCCCACCCTCTAGATGAATATGTATTCCTGCCTCTTTCCTTTTCTCTCTTTCTATTCCTTCTCCCTTTGCTTAGCTGTGACATGGAACTAGAATATAGGCTTAATTTTTGTTTGCTTTCTTCAATACGAATCGTATCCCTTGTCATTAATTTCAAAAACCACGACTTGAGTATTTCATACCACTTTGTCTCCCTCAAGAAAAAGAAACCAAACGCAGTTGCTTCGTAGTGGCATCCCCTGATGTATTCCTCTGTTGTTCGGGGTCCCCACAGTCAGTTTATTTATTTATTTATTTATTTTTTTTATTTATTTTTTTATCCTCACCCGAGGATATTTTTCCATTTTTTTGTACAGATAGAGCGGGAGGGAGAGAGAGAGAGAAACATCGACGTGAAGGGACACATCGAGTGGCTGCCACCCGCACGACCAACCAGGGCCGGGGACAAACTGCAACCGAAATACGTGCCCTTAGCAGGAACCGAACCCGGGTCTCTCCGGACCGCAGGCCGACGCTCTAACCGCTGAGCCAAACTGGCCAGGGCGAGACCCTGCTTTATTTTCAACATGATACGAAGACCAACCAAAAAGTAGGAAGTCAAGTAAATAAAACAAAAAATAGAAAATTAGGACCTAAAGAGAAGGAAAAATAAATATACTTCACACCTTTGATGGGGCCCCAGATTTGTCCCCGAGTTCCTTGACATTCAGGAGCATCAGAAACCCACAGTGGTGGGACCTAAAAAGAAATACGTGTCCCCTTTCCTCCAGGAAAACAAGATCGGTCCTGGAACTGAATTCGAAAGGATCACTTGCTGGTAGCATCTGGATAGGCAATAATGATTTTACAGGGCAATAATTCCAGAAAATTCACCAGCCGTCTTTTTCTTTGGAGGATTTTTCGCTAAACACCAAGGGTTTAAAACAAAAGAACAATTCAGGCCTTGACAAGGGGCTGAGTTCGTGTGCACCCTCTGGTGATAAAACCTGAAACCAGGTGAGAAGCACTCTTGTTTGAGGCAACTGCTCATCTTGGTACATAATCCTACATAAAATAATAATATAAACCCTAATTTATAAAGAGATCTTGGTTTCTTAAGCATTATCTCAAATTGTAAATATTAATTATTATTACAGCTTAAGCACCTTTGAAGTAATTTTTTTCAGACCCCAGTGTGAGCTGGCACAGGCCCTTGTGATGATTCTATCACATGTCTCTTGAGAACATGGGTAAGAACCTGAATGGTAACAAGAATTCAACTGACCAGTTCCCCCAAGTCAGTCATAATTCTTGACCATGTGACTTTATACAACAGGAACAAGGAATCTATTTAAAAAGACAACATCAGAGTGGATGGAGTGTCAAATGCCTCTGTTCCTACATCTCATAATGGCAAATACTAATGTTTACTGTGGTTGTCTTGAGTCCTTCTAAATCTTAAGTGACCAGAGATCCCTCCTGACTTGCTTCCTAAGAGAAGAGATGGGATAAACGTCTTTGAGAAGAACTTTTAGTAAGAGGGTCTCAAAATTATTTTCACCTGACCCAGCCGGTGTGGCTCAGTAGACTGAGCATCATCCCATGGACCGGGAGGTCCCGTCCTATACCCGGTCAGGGCACATGCCCGGGTTTCGGGCTCAATCTCCAGTAGGGGGCGTGCAGGAGGCAGCCAATCAATGTCTCTTCTCTCACATGGATGTTTCTGTCTCTCTCTCCCTTCCTCTCTCTCTAAAAAATCAATAAAAACATATTTTGTTAAATTGGTTTCACCTGGCGGAGGTAGTGAACTGGAAAAGATTGATGCTGTGGTGCACTTCCCACGCCGCCTCACCCCCTCGTGTTTATCTCAGTGCTTTCCACTGGAGCCACGTCTGCATGAGGCGCTGGCCGTCTGACATCAGCATCAACGTTAATGCTGACAACATTAGTGCGGCGGCCATCTCCAGCCCTTGACTGGTTTCATTCACCCTTGGGATGAAATTATTCTGGTCCCTGCTTCTCTGGCTCAGAGACTCATTTCTGACCGGAGGAGCTGTCCTCATCACACATTCAGAGCCAAGCCTAAGGCTTAGAGAGCAGATCAGTAAAAGAACGACGTGAATCTTTAATCAGCCCTCCAGCGTTTCACTAGCTGAAACACCATGACCCGGGTGAAGAGTGATGAGCTAGACTTCCCTAACGGAACGTTCTCGCCTTCCATCTCTTTCTCTGTAAATGGAGGTACAGACTGGCCCATACTAAGGGAAAGAAAGGGAGTTTGAGATGTGATAGAAAACTGGAAATATAAAATCATACACACCTGTGTACATATATACAAACACACACACACAATATATATACACATATATATGTATATATATATATATAATTTGTAGTGTGTGTATATGTATATTCAATGGAGTCAATAAAGGATATTCTTATATTCAATGTTCTTATATATAATATAAATCCTCATGTTCAATGAGTGTATATATTTATCTCTCTGAATCACAATAATAATATTGGTGCACAATTTTAATTGTGATTAAGTTGAAGCACACTGAGATAGAAATGCATTTTAATGAAATGGAATTCTCCAGGGGGTGTGCTTACCTGTTTTTCCCACCCTCTAGATGAATATGTATTCCTGCCTCTTTCCTTTTCTCTCTTTCTATTCCTTCTCCCTTTGCTTAGCTGTGACATGGAACTAGAATATAGGCTTAATTTTTGTTTGCTTTCTTCAATAAGAATCATATCCCTTGTCATTAATTTCAAAAACCACGACTCGAGTATTTCATACCACTTTGTCTCCCTCAAGAAAAAGAAACCAAACGCAGTTGCTTCGTAGTGGCATCCCCTGATGTACTCCTCTGTGGTTCGGGGTCCCCACAGTCAGTTTATTTATTTATTTATTTATTTTTTTTATTTATTTTTTTATCCTCACCCGAGGATATTTTTCCATTTTTTTGTACAGATAGAGCGGGAGGGAGAGAGAGAGAGAAACATCGACGTGAAGGGACACATCGAGTGGCTGCCACCCGCACGACCAACCAGGGCCGGGGACAAACTGCAACCGAAGTGCGTGCCCTTAGCGGGAACCGAACCCGGGTCTCTCCGGACCGCAGGCCGACGCTCTAACCGCTGAGCCAAACTGGCCAGGGCCCCACAGTCAGTTTAAAACCTTGACTAAGAGTTGGCATTGCTCCAGTGTGCAAGGTGAAAAGAATTGCAGGAATTCACTGAAACATTGAACAATTAAAACATCGTAATATGCAAGGTGGTAATTTTAAACTTCGTTTGTTGAGAAGTTGTTTTCTGCTCTCAGTTTGAGGAGAAAAATTAATTGCCCCACTATTTGTCGCTGTGACATTTTCAACTAGCACTGTTGGCCTTTGGCCAGTCAGAGGAGCTAAGGACACTTCCCTGCTCCCCAGCAGAGGGACACAGGTTTGAGGGACCAAGTGCCACAGCATCAAACTGCTCCTTGGTCAGTGTGGGCAGAGGTCAGGCAGCAAGCTCTAGACCATCCTACAGGGAAGAAAATGCTAGAGCAGAAACTTGCTGATGAACCCTTGACATTTTAATCACTGAACGACCACCACCACGGCTGGTAAGAGGGACTCTATATTCACCACATAAAGGACTCTCCTCTAACCCTCAGGAAGTGACATTAACTAGGCTTGTGGTTACTTAATTATGTTATCATTAATAAATCAGACACATAAAATTTAATTTTAACTTACAACTAATCAAAACCTAGCCAAAAGAAATAAAATAAACTAAGAAAAGATGGGGGTTAAGAGCTGTAGGGGCATTAAACCCCTCACATGGCCTAAACTGACGGGCCCACTTATAAGAACAATACCATCGGGAGAAAAGTGACTCATAGTTGTTCGACTTCATTAAAATAGCCATCTTTTCTCTCGCAAGTGAAAGATGTAGGGTGAACATGCAGACTCAAACCAAGAATGTTTACTCTAACTTCTAATGCACCTCTTCCAGTGTGTCAGACTATTGAGAGAACTGCTGAGAAAGCTGAAGAGTGGGCACACCGTGTGCCCATCTGCTCAGCCTCATTCCTCGGTGATGTCTGCCCTTAGGCTTCGGTTTCAGCTTCACCCCGCACTGTGCCTCAAGCGCTAATCCCCCTCGTTCCTGCCACCTGGTGACCTGCAACCCTAAATATCAGTATGTGATAAACTGCTTTGCTTTGAGGTGCTTAAGAGCTGATATTGACAGCTGTCTCTCACGTGCTTGTTTTGCAAGGCAGTTTTTGACTACACATGGAAACAACTGGATTCTAGCATGGCTATTTGGGGTAGCAGGTCAGGTGGCGTGGGAAGCAGTTAAGGAAGAGGAAACTTCGATTCTCCAATGAGAGGAGAGGCAGTACCAGCTCGGGTCCAAACGGCAAGACGGGTCTCCCGGCCCAGGGCCCGCTGCAGCCCTGCTGCACACAGAGCTGCTGAAGTCGTTGAGAACAGTGGCGAGCACTGGGTGGGAGGGACTGACACAGGGGCTGAATCTTCCGTAAATGACGCTTGGAAGTTCGGTAAAGGACAAGGACGATGAGGACCGAGGGTACTGGAACCAGAGGCCTCAGCCTCAGGGCATTGAGTTCTTATGGCTCAGGGGACTGTGGACAGGCACCGACGGAAATGCGCTGGGAGCGGGGGCTGGGGACCGGGGCTGGGAATGAGGCTCTGCCAACCTCCCTTCCAACAGCGGGCCACGTGCAGAATCTGGGCGAGAACAGAGCAGTGAGGATGCTGCGGGCCAGCTCCCAGGCCAGAAGCCCGAGGTTCTGCGAGCAGCACCAAAGGGTTGGCGGTGGGTGGAGAGAGCCGAGTCAGGGAGATGGGCACGGATGCGTGCGAGAACAGAGCTCAGGGAAGGAGGGATGCCCAAGGGGCATTCCGTTTTGATGACGGGCAGGGACAGTGAGCTTGCCATGGCCGGGGGCTGACAGCGGGCACCAGCCGTGTGTGTCTCTTGGCCTACAGGGCTGTGCAGGGCAGTAGGACCGGCCAGCTTAGAGGTTCACTCTGTGTAAGAAACACAGAGAGGCCAGCATGACCCCCCGAGGTGGGCCACAGTGACCCCTTGTGTGCTTCTTAGGGCCAGTGCTGGAGAGCAAGAGAGCAGGGACTCGCCAGTCCCTCTTGGGCCTGTGAGGACGAATTGGGAGGTGAGAACCAGTCACTCACACTCGGTGATGGGAGAGGACAGGGATGGGGAGGTCGGGGATGGGGAGGATGGGGCTGATGCAGAGTTTCTAGCTGCCCAGAGCCTGATGCGCATGGAAGTCTCAGGAGCTGTTGTTTGTCCTCCGTTTCCTAGGGTTGACAGAGGAACAAGCTCAAAATTGTGTCCGGATTGAAACAACAAAACGCATTCTCTTTGTTAAAAAAAAAAAAGTGGAACACCGGTGCACCAACAACAGGATGTCAGAGAAATACGAAGGTAAGTGACCTGTCTCCCAGCAGCTCGCCCAGGGCATCCTGATAGGAATTTTGTTTTTAAATAGTTTTCATTTATTCTTTAGAAAGAGAGGAAGGGAGAGAGAGAGAGACACATCCATCTGCTGCCTCCTGCACATCCCCTACTGGGGATCAAGCCTGCAACCCAGACATGTGCCCTGACCAGGAATCGAACCCGGACCCTCAGTCCATGCGAGGATGCTCAGTCCACTGAGCCACACCAGCCGGGCGAGCTAACAGTAATTTAAGGACCACATTGCACGTGACTGTGCTGTTTTAACTTCTCGCTTATTTTGCCTACCTACCTCAGAGCCCTAGGTGTGGGGGAGAGAGTGCAAATGAACTATCAGCAGCACTCCTTAAAAGGGGAAATGGTTAAGATGGTTAAGGTTTTCTTTGTCCTATAGTTATCTCATTTCATTAACATGTATTGATTCTTCCCGTGGGCTGAGCCCAGTGTTCAGCATGGTGATGTACAGATGTGTGAATCGGGCCTGCCTCCCGCAGAGCTTAGAGGGATGGCGTGTGTACCAGCCAATAAAACACAAAGGTGTTGCTTTGGCCGGTTTGGCTCAGCGGTTAGAGCATTGTCCTGCAGTCCAGAGAGACCCGGGTTCAGTTCCCACTAGGCGCATGTACCTCGGTTGCAGTTTGTCCTCGGCCCTGGTTGGTCGTGCGGGTGGCAGCCACTCGATGTGTCCCTTTCACATTGATGTTTCTCTCTCTCTCCCCCTCCCTCTTGCTCCCACTTGTCTGAATAAAAAATGGAAAAATGTCCTCGGGTGAGGATAAAAAAAAAGCCCAAAAAACAGAGAGGGCTAGAGGTGTAAAGACCCTCAGGGAAGCAAGCCAGAAAGCTGGGCTGTGTCTCTAGGGGCTCTGCTCCCAGCCTGCAGGTGGTTGTATAGCGTGAGTGCTCTGTCAGTGCGACGTGCCCATGAGCCGGCATGCACAGGGGCCGCCTACTGTGCCGTCGTGACCCTGAGTGTCAGCTTCTCTTTCTCCGCTCCTCAGCCCCCACACTCCCTGGGCAATCCTTCTGCCGTCTCACTGTTTCTCCTAGTCACCCGCCTGTGTCCACGGCGCAGCCTCCTGCACGACTTCCAGCTGGATCGCCACGCCAGCCTCCCCGCTGGCCCCCGCCTCCAGCCTTGCCTTCTTCCCACCCACCCCACATTTTCCCCGAGAGGGGTCTTCTCCAAGGCAGATCTTACCATGGGGCTCTGGCGCCTTCAACTCCTGGCCTCCCGGAGCCTGAGAGAGGAGGGCCTGGCGCAGCGGTGGGTGGTCCCCTGACTGGCCGGACTTTCCCACGTCGGGCCATTATAACGAGCTCCTTTCTCTGCGGAAAACGGTCTCATTCCCTCATTTTTCCTCACGGATTGCTCCTCATTGTGCTCAGGACAAAGGGGACAAAATCCCAGAAAAGTCCAAAATGTGACGCTTATCTCCTCACGGGGGGACGAATAAGGAATGAATAGAAATATAATATTTACCAACGTAATAAACAGATCATTTCAAATACCAGAGCATACAGATGGTCTCCATGCAGGTGCCCATGTGAAGCATGAGCAAAATGAAAAGAACTGGTTTTGACAGCTATGCATTTATATTATATCCACACACAAAAAGTCAATACGAGGGAAAAGGAGAACAGCATGCAAAGCAGATGAGTGACCTGGTGAAAGAATGGCTCCAGGTTTGATACCAGTTTTTCGTGCAACAGAGTAATTTAATACGAATATTAATTCAATACATTGAAAGCTCAGAGACAAAAAGATTTAATATAAAAATAAACTGAAACGGCAGATTTCAAAGCTAAGGTACAGCCCTGGCCGGTTTGGCTCAGCAGTTAGAGTGTCGGCCTGCTGTCCAGAGAGACCCGGGTTCGGTTCCCGCTAAGGGCACGTACTTCAGTTGCAGTTTGTCCCCGGCCCTGGTTGGTCGTGCGGGTGGCAGCCACTCGATGTGTTCCTTTCACGTCGATGTTTCTCTCTCTCTCTCTCTCCCTCACGCTCTATCTGAACAAAAAATGGAAAAATGTCCTCGGGAGAGGATTAAAAAATAATAATAAATAAATAAATAAATAACAAAGCTAAGGTACAAAGACAAGCAAACATTGAAAAATATCACCATTGCCCAGTCAGCGTGGCTCAGTGGATTGAGCATCGTCCCATAGACTGAGAGGTCCCGATTCAATTCCCAGTCAGGACACATGCCTGGGTTTCGGGCTCAATCCCCAGTAGGGGGCGTGCAGGAGGCAGCTGAGGGATATTTCTCTCTCACATCGATGTTCCTATCTCTCTCCCTTCCTCTCTCTCTAAATAATCAACAAAAACATATTTAAAAAATATATCACCATTGCCATTAGAAATAAACTAGACACCGCAAAGACAAATATAATTGCTGTATTTCAGGGACACTACTTCCCACATTTTAAATTATATGTGTCATTCCGTTTCCATTTGATTTTCTGTAATAATTGTTCAGATCTGAATTTTTTTCTCTGCATTGATTATGAATTACTTTAAATAGTTTCTGTATGCAATTAACTTTATTAATTTTGTTTTCAGGCCATTATATTTTGTCACTGTCCATTGGTATATGATATATTGGCAAATACTAATTTCTTTCCTATTTTTATATGAAAAATGAATACAAAAATCTCTAAAGTTTTCTTTTTAGGTCCCTCTGTATTACTTATCTGCCTCACTTTGAAAAAGGTCAGACCGCTCTTCCTAGGGGGACTACTCCACCCTTGTTCTAGTCATTCTAGACGGTTTCACGTAGGGGTGTGGCTGGGCCCTGCTCCCACCAAAGAGCTGCCGTCCGATTAACGGCACCGACTCTCGTCCACCTCACTAGCCTCCTTTTCATTCGATTTGATTTCTTTCTACCATTTCCTGTTGCTCAGTTCCTAGTCTTATTAGTCAAAGACACCATTAGTTAAGAGAGATTGTTTTGAAACTTTGTATAAAAATCGGTGCAATGTATATTAAATATCATTGCTTCTAAAACATTGTGTTAACACAGAACTTGAGATTTAATTTCATTTTTTTCTTTGTTGAGTTGAGCTTTGACTTAAAATCACAACTTAAAAGCACTTGACCAACTTCTCTCTGTAGTTGGAAGTCTCCAACACGGCAGTTAATGGGCTGAATAGCAGAGGCCAGGTGGTCTATATTACCCCGGGGGCCCAAGACATATACTAATACATGTCCAAAGTGGGGGTTGGCATCAGAGAGCAGGGAGCAGAGTAGTCAGGACTTGGGCTGCATTTGCATCCCAGCCCCCCGGACCACGTGTTCGATGCCAAACTACTTCTAGCCGTATGTCCATGTTGACAACAATACCTACCTCTCAGGGTGTGAGAACTACGTAAGAGGATGTGTGCATAGTGCCTGGCATGCACACGCTTCTTAAAAAAAGGTAGCTGTTGGCACTGTTAGTATCTTTCTGTCGTTAAACTCCCTCTAGGGATGGGGAGCACTGGATTCTCTCTTGATTTTCACTTACCTAATGGAGCTTCCTGGCTACACCGTCTTCTGTGCAAACAGGCTTTTCTTTCACGGTTGAGACTGCAATAAAGTTAAAGGAGTAATTTTCTTAAAACACTTGCAGGTTCGATGTTGCAGGGAGCAGAGAAATCCATCTCCATGGTTCAAGGCGGGAGGAGTGCTTACTCGGCAGCTTTGGCGTGGGAGAAGGGGGCCTCTGGCCCCAACCAGAAGGTCTTTTCTGACTGGTTAGAATCAGTGAAGGATAATCCTGCTGTGATTGACTACAAGGTAAGATTAAAAAGTAGCATGGGTACGGGAACCAAAGTGGTTCTCTAGCAGCCTAAAGGAATGGTCACACAATTCTTTTTCCATTTTTCTCTGAGATGATAAAGGAAGTGTCTTTCCTTAGTGTCCATACACAAGGGACCTTTTTTAAAATGTTAAATTAGACATCTGCTTTTGTTATTCAGCAAGCATTCTCTAGTATAGTATTTAGAATTTCAAGCATACATAGAACATCAGGGAAGAGAGTTTAGTGAATGAAACTGCTCAAACTTGCCTTGAGTAGTGTTCATCTCCCCAACGTACACAAAAAATTTGGTTTCTGCAATTTTTTTGCAACTCTTTATTTGATGAGTACTCCTAAATCTTCATTTTTAGCTCAGTGGAATAAATGTGATTTTAGTTCTATTTGGCTTTCTGGCTCTATCACTTTAGATTAAATTTACCGGTCTTTGTTGTAATAACATAAAAGGGTGATTTTTATTATTCGTGGAATACTTTGCCCGCATATCAGTCACGGGCCATTGAGAACCGGTTTTGCCTAAAACATAACCGCATTTGAAAATGCCCCTAACAAGCCATTCTGCTCACTTCATTTAACTGAAGACAGCGGAGTTCAATCATCATGAAAGTACGACAATGTGCACACAGCGTGAAGATACATCACGCTCTCCAGGTCGTGGCAGGGATGAGATCCAGCCACCCATCTGGGCACCTCTGAGTCACACACGGCACTACCTGGTCGTCCCTTTGCGGTTATAACATTAACAAAATGAGCCCTGGCTTTGTGTCAGCCCCATTATTGTTACTGCAGTTCTCCATTCATCCTGCCATGGAGTTCATTTCCCCATTTCCTTCGCTCTGCGTGTTCCTCTGGTTCCACCAAGAGCCAGCGTTGGCCCTGGGAAAGCAAAGAACAAGCATAGCGGGTCAAACTTCACTAGGTTTCAGCAGAGCATTCCCGAGCCGCCCACCTCAGCACCTGGGCGCGTGCATTCGATGCTCAGTACCTAACACACACGTCCCGGGAGGCTCCCTCCATAGAATCCCAGGGAACGTGGGCTCCGGGTCAGTCACACCTGCCGTGCTCTAGGGACAACAGAGCAAGCTAGTCACGCTGCGGGCTGCTCTCTCCACCACCCCCTACAATCCCTGTTCTCTCCTTTTCTCGGCTGGTTCCACTGGCACACGATTGTATTCTCCAGTAACCCTGGACGTGTGGGGTTTGCCATGCCTTGCCTCTGTTCCATGAGAGTTGGGCAGTGATGGCAACATTTGCACAGGGATGTGACTGTGAGTGGACCCCCTCTCTGCCATCTGCTCTTAGCTGGCTCCCATCACGGACTTAGTAAGAAACGTCTCCTGTGCGGTGACAAGACGGAACAACCTCAGGAGAGCTTTGGAGGAATATGCAGCCAAGTTCGACCCCTGCCAGTGTGCTCCGTGTCCTAACAACGCCCGTCCCACACTCTCGGGGACCGAGTGCCTGTGTGTGTGCCAGAGCGGCACCTACGGGGACAGCTGTGAGAGGCGCTCCCCGGATCACACATCTGGTAAGCAGCCTCCCCAGCAGGTGCGCGAGCCTGGGCAATCAACACGAAACAAACTTCCGTTAGCATCTCCCCCCTTATGCAAACTCACACGGAAAATACGCCTGTAAAAAGTGAGACTCTCAAGTCAAACAGCCCTGGGATGAGTCTGCTGTGACCTACCAGCTCTGCAGCCTGGTGATAGTCCCCTAGCCTCTCTCTGCCTCCATCTGTTCACCCATAAAATGGGGGCAGTGTCAGTATTTAAAACATACACAGCACAAGGCCTGTAATATTTAATAAATAAAATAATAGAAACTACTATAAAATACAGGGTGTGATAAGATCGTTAATAAGCCTTTATGTATTGTAATGTAAATCAAGATGGCTTTGTAATTGGGCTACATTAAGCCACAACCCAAGTTTTCATACAGGACTAAGTAGTGTTCCTGGCTAGAAAGGGGATGTGTCATTGGAGTAAGAAAATATTCTGTTACCTTTAGGCACACAGTTTGATATATATTCTATTCAGAAGAAGTCCATATTTATACATGTATGTGTGCATGTACGTGTGTGTGTGCAATATGTGCAGATGGTTGGAAATGTTCATGATTGTTGCTGTTTTATCCAAGCTCTGGGACCAGGGAAAGGAAATCAGGCAGTGTGTCAGGCCCCGACCCCTTTTTATCCTCACAATAATCCTTGCGATTGCACAAAAAACCACCCAGCTGAGAAGCGGGAAAGCAAGCCGGCCTGGCTTCCCGGCCCAAATGCGCTCGCCGGGCTGTGACCAGCGGGGGTCGTCCTGCGTTCCAGATGCGGTCGACGGGCACTGGGGCTGCTGGTCTTCCTGGAGCCACTGCGACGCCACCTACAGGAGATCGCGGACCCGACAATGCAACAACCCCGCCCAGCGACGAGGAGGGGCGCCCTGCGAGGGGGACCGTCGGCAAGAGGAGCACTGCTCAATTTCGATAATGCAGAGCGAGTGAGCATGAGTGGTGGGGAGCCAGTTACCCCACTAACACAGAAGCACAGACAGTTAGGGTATTGTTATGCTACTGCTAAAGAAAGGAATGATTAGATTCTGCCTATTCTCACACAGCGTGTCAGTGAGGCATCGTATCTGCTGTTACCCTTTTCTCTCTTTTACATATATATAATATATCACACATAAAATGTGCATATATGCACACACCTATGCATGCACATGCACATGTAAATATATGTGGTGGACATGCACATGTAAATATATCTGTGTACATATGTGTGTGTATGCATGCACATGTAAATATGTGTGTGTGTATATACACATGTTTATTATATTATATGCACGTACTTATTTTTCCCTTTTAGTGGACAAGTATGTATCAATGATGATGAATATGTAAAAGAAGTAGACCTTCCTGACATAGAATCAGATACAGGATGTCTTCAGCCAGTTCCTCCGGAATATGGATTTATTCGCGTAAGTATCCTGACCTTCCCTTTAGGTTCAGAGTTCAAAAAAAGAACTTAAGAAGTATTTTTTTTGCAATATTTAGAGTTATTGTTTTCTTAGTTTAATAATCTTCTGTTGCCTGGCTGATGTGGATCAGTGGTTGAGCATCAACCCTGCCCCAAGAGGTTGCCAATTCGATTCCCAGTCAGGACACATGCCCAGGTTGTAGGGCCAGGTCCCCAGTGGGGGGCATGCAGGAGGCAGCCAATCGATGTTCTCTCTCATCGATGTTTCTATCTCTCTCTCCCTCTTCTTTCCTCTCTCTCTAAAATTAATAAAGAAAAAGAATTTTTTTTTAATAATCTGTTGACTTAAAAAGTGACATTTAGAAATGCTTTGCCATTCTGCCACCTTGACCTCCCTGGAGATGCCTTTGTACCTGGTGGTTGGACCAGAGGATGGCAGACCCTTGTGTTACACGGCGCTGGCTGCCCACATGCTAACAGTACAGTTATGTGAACGAAGAATGGAACTTGAGCATTACGTAGTTTGGGATGATGGGCAAGAATCTGCCACTAAGGTGTGACTACTTCAGAGTCTGAGCAAACTAATCCCCCATCTGAGCAGGCTTTCAGAGAGGCAAACTAGTCTTGGCTGTAATCATAAGAGGTGATACATCTGTAATGACTTATTAATTCAGAAACCGATAGCACTCCTAATCAGTCAATACAATTTTAACATAATTAATATAGAATCGTTTTATTTTCTTCAGTAAACCACAATATATTTCTATGATTAAAAAAACAACTGTTTCGCCCTGGCCGGTTTGGCTCAGCGGTTGGAGCGTCGGCCTGCGGTACAGAGAGACCCGGGTTCGGTTCCCGCTAAGGGCATGTACCTCGGTTGCAGTTTGTCCCCGGCCCTGGTTGGTCGTGTGGGTGGCAGCCACTCGATGTGTCCCTTCACATCGATGTTTCTCTCTCTCTCTCTCTCCCTCCCGCTCTATCTGAACAAAGAATGGAAAAATGTCCTCGGGTGAGGATTAAAAAAAAAAAAAAAGTTTCTTTTTTTGTCAGAGGGGTCTGTGGCTTTAGATAGGAACTTTCAGTAGACAATTGAAAATTGATCACGGAAGGCATGCTCCCTAATCAATTTTACCTTTCTTTTTTGTTGTTATTGTTCTTTATGCTCACCCGAGGACATTTTTGCATTTATCTTCAAATAGAGCAGGAGGGAGAGGTGGAGGGGAGAGAGAGAGAGAAGCATTGACGAGAGAGAGACACATTGACTGATTGCCACCCACACGACCCCAACCTGGTCGGGGACAAACTGCAACTGAGGTACGTGCTCTTAGCGGGAACCAAACTCAGGACACTCTAAGCAATGAGCCAAACCGGGCAGGGCCTTTCTTTTATTTAGTTTTACCTTTCTTAAACTCCGTAAAGCCTTTATAGTATTTTTTTTCCACTTTATCATATTTATGATCAAACATCAATAATCCTGGATACTCCAAGGCCAGCAAATAAATATCCATGGAGCATGAAGTCTGGGCTGATGTTCTTCCCTGTTCACCCGTGTCCCGCCCACAAGCGTGGCACTGTGCCTCAAGGTTCTCAGGGGAGGGAGTATTTGGAGGGGGGTGATGTCAACTGTCTTTACTCTAGAACAGAGAGACTCTCAGACGCTACACTGCCCTGGAGACTCTCTGCCTCAGTAGGTCTTGGCCGGGCCCCTGAGAGTCTAGTCCAACTAGTGTTCAGGTGATACTGATGCTGCTGGCTCAGAAGCCACACTTTGGGAACAAAATCTTTGAAACAGGGTCAGCAAACTATGACCCCCGGCCCAATCTGGCCTGCCATCTGTTCCCTTTTCTTATGTTTTTTAAACCGAGGTTTTATTAGGACACCGCCACACCCTGTATGCACAGTGCCTAGGGCGGCCTCGCACAGCAGCAGAGGTGAGCAGCTGCGACAGAGGCCGTGTGGCCGGCAGCTGACTCGCCAGGTCCTTTGCAGGACAGTCCCTGCCTCAGACCGTTATCCTCAAAAGTCACCTTTTGTCAGATTCAGACACCTAAAGAATGTCTAACCTACTTACACCAACTGCTTGCAAAATCTGCTAAAGTGATCGGCATTCTAAGTTTAAACACACTCAAAGGGTTCAAGTAGTGATTCATACGTTTCCATTTTTATAAATAAACTCACTCCTATTTTATTTTGTTCTCTTTTATGGGCCTAATCTCTATCTGACATAGTTTTTACTCAAAAGTAATACAATTTTAATTTTCCTAATGCACACTTTCTGAAATTTCTGGTAGAAGAATGTCCCTCGTATGGAGGCAAATATGCCTAATTCCAGGCTAGAACAATTACGTTATTGCCCATGAAGATATTTGTTCAATGATCAAGACACAAGTCCTACCCTGACAGGCAAGTGACAGTAACTTCAGGTCAGGTCTCTTAGTCTAGTCAAGCTAGCGGATGTGCCAATCAAAGCTCAAAGGATCTAACTTACAGGCTGTTGCTTCATAAGAAAAATGGAAGCAGAAGCTTAAGGCAATAATGTGTTTTCGCAGGAAAGCAAAAAAAAAAACAAAACAAACAAACAAAAAAAACGAGAGAGAGAGTTTAACCTTTGAATAAAACATTCAAATCATTCATATAACTCATTACTACATCTCTCTTGGAAACAAAGCCACACCCACAGTAACCAATGGTGGAATATTCTTTTCACATTCAGGAAATTAAGAATCTTCTAGGAGACAAGTGGAATTATGTGGCCAGGTAATAAAAGTTGACTATTAAGCCTTCACCGCCCTCAAAATTCCCAACTTCAGTTCTCAGAGAATACTTCCTAGCGATCTGTGTGTTCTTCTTCCTACCCATACGGAGAGGAGCGTTACATTACTGTCTCCCTAAGGAGGACAGAGTTTTGCATTCTTTCAGCAACAAGTTATTAAATCTGGTGCAAAGATTTGTGGGATAGGGATCTAGTAGTGGGGGTGGCACTCAGGTGTCGGGGTGGAGCTGATAAAAGTGATTAACACACCCTGGCCGGTTTGACTCAGTGGTTAGAGTGTTGGCCCTTGGACCCAAGGTTACAGGTTTGATTCTGGTCAAGGACACGGACCTGGGTTGCAGGTCTGATCCCCAGCCTCCAGGTCGTGTGAGAGGTCGTGTCGATGTCTCTCTCACTCACATCGACGTTTCTCTCTCTCCCTCTCTCCCTTCCTTTCACTCTCTAAAAGTCAATGGAAAAATACCGTCAGGTGAAGATTAACAACAAAGTGATGAACGCTGTAAGAATGGAGCTTTGTGCGAGCGTCCCTCCAGAACTGAAGGGTGGCCTCCTCGTGACGCTGCGGCACGCAGGGCTCTCTCAGACGACTTTCTGCGGGGTTGGGGCTTGAGAAAGGCGAAGAGAAGAAATAGCCAGGTAGCCAGGGAAAGACAGAGAGACAGGAAAGAGGATAGATTTATGTCCAAAGAATGGTAGACATTTTGTTTCCTTAGAGCACAGGTTTTACAGGAAGAAATGGTGAGAGGTGAGGAGGGTGAAGTGGGTGAGATCTAATATCCCAAACCAAGTACAACCCATTTTATCTTGAAAATGTTAGTGAACCCCCCTTTCAACACACACACACACACACACACACACACAGTAGTTGTATTTTAATTACCCATATTGGGAAAATTTATAATGACTATGGCTTACTAATAATTAACACTTTTAAATGATTTGTAGTCAGTCAGTCATCAGAGTAACTGTTATGTTTGCATATGTAGGATATATTGTATAATCACTGAAGGATAAGTTTAGAGGTTCGTGTTTGTTTGTTTGTTTAGCTCTTGAAATAGTAGGCCTTCTCATATACAGGGGGCAACGTTTGTAAGTAAAAAAAAAAAAAAAAATAATCCTAATATGGAAGATACTTTAGAAAAGGGACCAGTTAAAAAGCTGTTTTGTAGGAGTAATATATGCCATAAATAAAGGCAGTGGTAATGGCAAAGAAAAGGGGAGGACTTAGAGAGATATTTAAAAGTCAGAATTGAGAGGAATCTGTGACTGAGTAGATACAGGACTGAAGGAATAGAAAGAGCCCAGAAATATTATTCATAGCTCTAATAACATGCTGGTTTCTCTTTAAATTCTAGAATGAGAAGAAAGTGTACTCAGTTGGGGAAGATGCTGAAGTGGCATGCTATACCGGATTCAAACTTGTCGGGTACCAGTACTTCCGCTGCTTACCAGACAGGACCTGGAGACAATTAGATGTGGAATGCCAACGTGAGAACCGGGGGTGCCTACTCTAGAGAAGGAATGTGCCCAAAATAAATAAAGCCGAGTCACCCCCATAGACCAGTACATTTTACTACTTTTTAATAACCCTGACAGAAAGGTTTAATGAAGCAGAAAATAGGATTCGTCGGCTAAAATTAGATGGCAAAGTGTCTTCAGTTTTCAGTTCTGCCCCTGCGTGCTGGCCTCATGCACACAGGATGGCAAAAGGGGTGCTCAGAAAGAAATCGGGACGTCTGCTCGCTGCATGTAACCCCACAGCGGCCTTGCCTGATGTACACATGGCTGCAAACCGAGGAGTCCCCGGAAGATGACACTTACACCCTTAGTGTAGTGGAAATGGGATTCTTATGGGAAATGCAGTCTTCGCTTTGGACCACGCTCACATCTTTTCCCGAGGAGGGGAGGAGGGGCTTGCAGGCTGCAGTGAGGTCAAAGTGAGATCCAAATGAGACCCATGTGGAGATGCTGAAGAGGGCCCGCAAGGCAGAATTGAGACCAGCATCTATCGGAACGCCCTGCCTCTGTATCACAGTGGGGTGACGTGCTTTTGGACAGACAAGGAGAAGGAAAGAGAGGCGGTCCCGATAATGGAATGAAAGCTGCAGTGTGTGGAGCCAGTTCCTTAGCGAGAAAACCTCAGAGAGTGGAGCTAAGGGGAGGCTCCCAAGGGAAGCCCGGGATTCTCAACCCCCAGGTTTTCTGATCGAAGGCAGCGTTAAATCAGAGCCAATGCAGTAAATCCCACTACAATCGCCTCTGGGCTGTGTGAATTCTGCCTACATCCGGTGAGTATTCCGCTCGGCTCAACGCGTCGGAAATGTGTTTCTGTCTGCAGGGACACAGTGCCTCAAGCCAGTTGTGCAAGAAGTTCTGACGCTCTCGCCGTTTCAGAAATCATATAAAATTGGTGAAACCATCGAGCTGACCTGTCCCAATGGCCTTGCTGTTTCCGGGCCGTCGAGGTACACGTGCACTGAGGGTTCCTGGACCCCGCCCATCTCAGACTCACTCACCTGTGAAAATGGTGAGTAAGTAGCAGCTCAGTGTTCTGGGCCGTGCTAAGGGGAGGGGGGCTCCCAAGGGGAGTAGGAGAGCATCTCCTGCGATGCTATTTCTTGAGTGTGTTTTGGGAAGGGAAAGCAGGTTGTGTAGATGGTGAGGTTGTATGTCATCTTGTGTAGATGAGGAAGTCAGGCAGAAATGAGAAGCTGTTGGTCAAGTGGATATTTTCACATTTTAGAGATTGAAGTCCTTTTCCCTTTGCAATGTACTTCAGTATTTTCAGGAAGTGCATGCTCACTCAACTAATAAAGTCAGAATTGATGGTGAACTGAGCATTTGGTTAAAATGGAGAATCATAGAAAAGCAGTACTTCTTAATTGTTGAAGCATTTTATTTTAACTTGAAGCACAGAAATACACATTTATTCACCAATTTTCTGGTGTCGGACCAAACTTTTATTTCTAAGGAGTCTCCTAATTTGAGTTTGGAGGTGTCTTCCTCACATAAAACAAATACATAATTCACCCCATAACATGTTACTCTGAAACAATGCTTTTCAACCCCAGGTGAGGCACTTCTTTTAAAAATACCCCCACCCAAGTCCCATTCCCCGATTCTGATGGCATTGAGCTAGAGCCCAGTAGTCAGGATTTGTTTAAAATCCGTCCTAGCTAATCCGAATGTGTGTGGCTGCTAACCACTGTTTCGAAGAGAGGTGAAAACTTAAAGATACTTTTGAGGCAAATGGACTAGAGAATGTTTACAGTTTTTATATATTTTTCTTATTCTGTCACAGTACTCTCATTCATAATTGATTCAAAACAAAATTTTACAAAGTACTTTTAATTGTTCAAAATTTTCAACCCGGTTTTTATAAAAATAACTCCCTTTTTTCTCCTTATGTCATCCGTTGATATATTTAATCAACTTACACATTTACAGTAACAACTGACATAAATAGATTTGGAACAAACCAAACTGACTCTTGGTAAACCTGTAGTGCGACTAACTGAAGCCGGGAAGAGAGACACCCTAAGTGCTGACTTCAGTGTCAGTCAGCAGGCTCAGAGGCCCGGAGAACTCCAGGCTCTAGAGGGGCAGTTGCTTAGATGGAGGGCAGGTAACAGATCTTCTACCAATTCACGTCTTCTAAATTTCTCAACGTGCCTGTTCCAATAACGTCTCATTTTTCATCGGAGAATCCTTGAGGCTGTATCTGAGATCCGATATGAATCGGCCTGTTTTCTTATGAAAACACAGAAGGCAGGGAGAAGGTGAATGAGACCCAAGGCCAGACGGTTTGGGTCAAACAGCAACTGTGTTAATTCCCCGCGCTCTTTGCCATCTTGCCTTCTCGGTCCTCTTCTGGGTTTCTGTAATGTGTGAAGGAAAGGAGAAAGTTAACCTGTGGTAACCTTAAAACTGTTGATAAAGAGATCTCATGAAAATGTGTAGGAACTTCAGGTAAATAGTGGGGCTTGGTTTCACTTGCTCACTAATATAATGTGAGAGGAACAGATATGTCTGGGATGCACAGGCTTCAGAAAGTTAAGGTCCTCGGGGCATCTTAGGCAGCATGCTCTTCCCTGGGCAAGTGATAGTGCATGTGCACACACACACACACATGCACACACGCACAGACTCATGACTGTGTTTGAAAAGGAAACTGAAATTATAGGCCAAACTGAGAGATAATGAGATATTCTACATCTAGATAATGGAAATCAATATTCTCTCGTATATACTGTGTCTCCAACAACATTGACAAAAGTGATCAATGAAGGAAGTCACAGAGAGAGAAAGAAAACTTCAGTGAAACGGGACGTCCTCTCAATACGTGGGGTGCTGTGAGGTAAAAAGACTTCCAGGCCACTTGCTGGCCAGGGAAAGACTTCCCGTTCTTTCCGAGTGAAGAAATGAGATACTGCACATCCCACTGTTACTCCTTCCCCTCCTCTGAGAAACCAACACCTCCAGAGGGTCCCCGTGCCCTCGGCCCTTCAAACATCACAATGTTCTCATTTCCAGGTTGCTTTCGGCTGTGGTTTGGGGTGTGGGCCACTGAGAGCCAGTTCTGGCTTCAACCTGACTCTTGGTGAGGGAGCAAAGACTCCTTGCACACGATCACTGACAACTCCAACTCCATAGTAATGGAGCAATGTCCTGCGTCACTTCCAAGTTGATTGTCTTTGGAAACAATGTGTGGTTAGGGCCCCTTCCTGACCTAAGTGTGAATTTATTTCTAAAGGGCAAAGGTAGAGCGATACAGAAAACCATCCCATGCCAGTGGAAATCTTAGGACCTGGGGCCTGACCAGTAGCTCTAGGTCTCTGTGTTCATGAAAGTTCTGGGCCAACATTCACCAGACGGAATGAGCGTCCTAACGGAAGATAACAGTAGAACGTGGAAACAACAGCGAAGAAGAAAACCCACCAATTTTTTCAACCTTTATTTTTGCTTCTAACATAAACCTTTTTCCTTTCTCGAACTTTCTGCAAGATCGGCTAAGAAGAGACATTCTGAGCTGGGCCTCCCGATCTTTCGTCTAAGGTGGCCGCGTAGACAGACGGCTGCCCACTGCCCTCCTTTGGCACGTACTTGGTGACAGAGGCCGTGGTAGTTCTGTGGGTGCCTGACTAGGCAGATTCAGTCCAGGGAAGCCTTTCATCCCACAGGCTCCACAGGTTAGTTCCAGGTCCAAGTCAACCCGCCTGAAGGTTTTTTGGATGAGCCTTAATAGAAGCAAAGATAACCAAGATTTCCCCTTTCTTACCATTTACCCAAGTGTTATTCTCTCTGCTTTAATGCAAACGCAGGCCTCACACGCACACTAGTCCATTGCTGATCTTGGCTCCAGTGTCATTTCCTTATGGATCTGTCCTTGCATTCCTCAGTTGGGGTCTTTTTTAATGTGATCTCTGGGAACCTGTTCCTTTTCTTCAAAACATCTATCTCAGCCTTAAGTGTAAACCCATTACTGTGATTATGATTAATGTGTGTGTTTCCCATTACCCTTTAGATTCATGGAGAAAGGGACCACTACTGTTTTTATCCCCCCCCCCCCGCCCCCCATCATAATATCCTAGTGCCTAGATTATCATGCAGGTATAAATAGCTACATTTCTTCATTGATTCATCTTATAAGAAAATCAGACTTTTCGAGCCATTACTCCCAACATCCATTTGCAGGACTGTCATCACTGTATCTGGACTGCTAAATGCAATGGACAGTATTTTGGTCCTCGTCTCCCTTCACCTCTCAGCAACCTTCGACCCTGTTGACCGTCTGCATCTATGTTCTTTTCGTGGTTTCCAAGATAGGGAGCTGTCTTCTTCGGATTCTACCTCTCTGGCTATTGCCCTCTAGTTCTGGCAGGCTCCAATCTGTCTCCTCGCCTACGCTACACTCTCCTGCTGGGGACTCTCACCCACACCCACAGCTTTGGTGATCCCCCGCCTACTAATAACATTTCAGTCTTTAGCATAGATGTCTCCACTGAGGTTTAGACCTGACTATCCAAATTTCTGCGTATCTATTTTGTTTAGATGTCTTAAAGATACCCTACATTTACTACAGTCAGAGAGAACTCTGGGGTCAATCACTCTCCCCTCCCTAAAACTAACACCTGACATTTTCTATGTCAGTTAAGGCACCAATGTCTGTTCTCTTATGCAAACCAGAAACCGGAGAATCATCCTTCACAGCTCTCACTTCTAACCCACAAAATGTAAAGTCATCTGTTTTATCTGCTAACTGCGTCTCAAGTGTGCCTACTTCTCTCCATGTCCACCTTGGGGACTCTGATCAAAATCACCGTCTGCTTTCACCTGTCGACTACAGTGACCGCATAGATCGTCTGTCCGTGGCTCTCTTGCCACGATGCCTCTCCATTCTCCGCCCAGAAGCCGGAATTAATTTTCTTTTCAAAACCCAACCTGATTGTGTCGCACCACCTGTGGCTTAAAACCCGTCAGAGACTTTTCACTGCTGATAACGTCAGGACAAAAGTCCTTCCGAAGCCCTTACGGCCCTGCACGAGGCCATGCCTTGTTCCACACGCTCATTTTTATGCACTTCAATTACCCTGGTCTTCAGTTCCAGGAAGGTCACGTGCTGCCTCTCTTTCGAGCACTTTGATGCCTCATGTTTCCTTTGCTTTGAACACTTCTCCTTTTCTCGTTTCATTTTACCATTTCTAACCTTTCTAGCTACATTAATTTTCTTGATTATATGCTTTCTCTTTAATAGCAGAACAGCAACTCTATTTGTGTTAGTGTGTTTGTTTGATTAATGTCTGCCTGCTTCTACAAGACCATGAGTTCCGTGAGCACAGAATCTGGGTCAAATGTTGCTCAATACACTACCCCCAAAAACCTAATGCAGTGCTGGGAATACCATAGTTGCTCGATAAATATTTGAAGAACAAGTAAACAGAAATTTCACCAATTCTATTTTCTTTAGTTATATGAACTTAGTAGCAATTTCAGGTTGGAAAATAACAGCTCAGGAGAGCTAGGAAAGACCTTTCAGATGGACTATTTCATGACAGCTATTTGGAGAAGCCAAAATGATTGCTCTAAATGAGAACATTTCACCATTGCCTTTGCTCCTAAATTCAAGTTTGCACTTGGAATCTACACTGTGCACTGTTCTTTTCTCCTCTTTCTCTTCTTTCAGATATCCTGAGCAAATTAAAGGGCCGTTGTGCATTAGGACAGAAAGAAGTGCGATCTGGATGCATTTGCTTGTCTCCGGAAGAAGACTGTAGGTAAGAGATGCTCTGTGGACTGTGTGGAAGTTGGGAAGGACCAGTCTAGTGTAGGCAGCTTGATGGAGAGGCTGAGTCTCTTGAAGCACAAAATTAAAACATACTGACTTTTCAAATAATTGATCTCCTCTGTGCTCAGTTGAATTCTTCTTCTCTACTGGTTGCAAGCTTTCTCAGCATCTCTCGGGCCAGTTCCCTAAGTTTTTGTGACTTTTGTTTATTAAAACAGTTCTCATTTTGATGATAAAGACTAGTTCCTGTCTATTTCAAAACTTCAGGCTCAATGACCTCAAAGCTTTTCTCCTTCCCAAAGTACAGGACACAGCTGTGAGTCCAACAACTTGGAGGAGAGAAAATAGTGTGAGCATAAAGTTCACACACACATACAAACACACACACACCTTTGTTAGTTTATTTTTGCAAGCGGGGGCAGAGAGCTTGAAAAATAAGCCCTGGCCAGTTTGGCTCAGCGGTTAGAGCGTCGGCCTGCGGTCCGGAGAGACCCGGGTTCGGTTCCCGCTAAGGGCACGTACTTCGGTTGCAGTTTGTCCCCGGCCCTGGTTGGTCGTGCGGGTGGCAGCCACTCGATGTGTCCCTTTCACGTCGATGTTTCTCTCTCTCTCTCTCTTCCTCTCTCTCCCTCCCACTCTATCTGTACAAAAGATGGAAAAATGTCCTCGGGTGAGGATTAAAAAAAATAAAAATAAAGAAAAATAAAAATTATATATCTTTATATGACTGCTGTGAATAGTTAGCTATATCCTCTTTGTCATTATAACAACCTTTTCTTTATGGAAATAAAACCAGGAGTGCCGAGGGTGCTTGTTATTGAAGGTCTACTTTCAGCTGAAATTAATCCAAACTAGCATGAGTTTAAGATAAAATCTTGCTTCTCTCCCGCACAATAAATCCAGAGGTAGGCAATCTAGAGCCAGTTTGGTGATTCACTTATTTCAGAGAGCCCCGGGGTCCTTCCGCCTCTGTTCTGCGGACCGAAAGCTACCTCATGGTGCAAGGCTGCTCTTCTGAAGAGGACAAAAGGAAAGCCAAAAACAGACACCTTCTCTCTCTTTAAGGCGAGTTCCTGAAAGACCCGTCATTCGCGTTCATCTCCTTAATCTTCTCTTGCTCACATGGCCACGTCTCAGCAAGGGGGACAGTGAATGCAGTTCTATGGCTGGACATGCAGACCTTTTAGAATGAAAGTGGGTTCCTGGGGAGGAGAAAGGATGAATGTTGGGGTAAGAAGCCAACAGACTGTGCCTAGTGTTACGCTTTAATTTAAACACTGAATGACTCTCATATTCCTTTGTGCTGCAGGTGAACAAATGCTTGTAGGGACTTGTTCATTCATTCATTCATTCATTCATTCATTCATTCTGTATAATTCACTGACATAATTCAGCCCAAGGTGGTTCTATCTGCCCTCCTCAGTATCCACCGTAAGTGATCCGCCACGTAGTTTCTCACTGATGGAGTCCACTCACCCAGCACATGGCCTGCTGGGTGGTACTTAAAACATTCACACTCCCATTTAACCCAGAGGAAACTTTTTTCTTTATCATTGCAATACAAAACCATGAAAATACAACTGCCCTCTGAAACTGTCTGAATTTTAGCTCTTCCCTACCTCTCTAGCCCCTTTCTGTACCCCTCAGTTCCCTTTTCTAAGGCACTGAAGTTGTTTACGGGAGTGGCTGGCCCCCAGCCTAAGTTCTCTGAACTTAGTGAGTGGCCTTTTCTTCTCAGCTCTGGGCTCTGGTTCCTGGAAACAGTTCTACATGCTGGTGCCCCAATTGTTAACTCTAAAATTGACATCAGAGAAGAGATTCTGATTTGGAATAACCAAAGAGTTTTTGTCCTCTCAGTAAGACAAGGGATATGACCATTGGTTACCTCTTGGTAGCAGGATCCATTATTTACTTAGAGAGATTAAGCAAGTTAACAAAGAAAAACTTAAAATGCAAGCTCTTAATCATAATACAAGCACGCTTGCAAAGCTATATAGTGATATACAATTCTGGTGTTGCAATTAATGAGTGTTACTGAGTTCAGAAGAGGTACAGATGGACCATCGTGGCCTAGGTCAATCGGGAATAGTTTTAAAGTGTAGGCAGGAACTGAGCTGGACAGAGATAGGCAGAGGGAAAGACAATGCAATGCTGATTGAGGAGGGCATGGGATGGCTGCAAAGGAAGACTAATCTTACCAATATAGAAAATGATCAATACACTTGTCAAGTGATAAGGAGGAATTAAGGGGGATGGAAAAATAATTACAGAAAGGCACGTTGATTGGAGTCAAAATATAGAAGATCTTCCTTATCAGAATTTAAGAATTCAGATTTTAATTCAAAAGCAATTCAGAGTAATACCAAAACTAGGATGAACTGTTTGAAAGATGAGTCCCAGATCACGCAAGGAGATGGAACAAGAGAAAGTGAAGGGTGGGGAGAGCAGGGGAAAGGTAACTGGGTAGCAAGTGAACATATTAAATTGACTAGATGTTATTTCTTGCTTTCTGGTCTTCATCTATAAACGCCTGCTTTCCTCTCTTGGGCAGCCGTTACTCAGAAGATCTCTGTGTGTTTGATGCAGACTCCAGTAATTACTTTACTTCGCCAGCTTGTAAGTTTTTGGCCAAGAAATGTTTAAATGCTGAGCAATTCTACTTTCTACATATTGGTTCCTGCCAAGAAGGTCCACAATTAGAATGGGGTCTTGAAAGGACAAAGCTTTCATTCAACAGCACCAAGAAAGAATCCTGTGGCTATGACACCTGCTACGACTGGGAAAGATGCTCAGGTAAGCCCAGTGGTGACCACGTACTAGAAAGGCTCTCACCTAAAATTCATCTCAGCTACTATATCTTATTTGCATTCATGTATCCTCTTTTCCCGAATCAAAAATTATTCCATTCTATTGTAAACGATTTTTTTGAAGTGATGTAAACAGAAAAGACAAATATAACCCACCCACAATTAGAAATAAGTGCTTTGACAATTTTGGTGGTAGATCTTTCTCATCTTTTTCCTATGCATGTACAATCAGCACACCATTACTTCCCAGTAAGAAGAGTACGCTTCCTGATTTCACGCTTCTGGCACCCTGCCCACCCCCAGCTGGGGGGGCATGCGTGAAAGTTGTCTTCGATTTCCTTTGGCATTTGGGACCAGATGGGACCAGCATAGGTAGAGTGCTCTGAACCTGGACTGGGGTCCTCGTGGACACCAATTGCTGAAGCAACTTCCTTAATTTTTTTTTTTTTTTTTACATCTTTTTATAGTGCCTGGGACTGGCCAAGGCTGTCAGTGTTATTCAAGTGGGACACCTTGAACCCAAACTGGGTCCCTCATGGACTCAGGCACTGTTTCTCCCTGTGGAACATTCTCCAACTCTCTATTGCTTCTCTCCTCCACCATGCATGGGGTCAACCAGATGTCCCAAGGGACTCCATCTGTAGGATCATCCCATTCCCAGAGAGGAGCCTGATGAGCCTCCAGCCAGCAGGGTAGTCTCTCTCAGTATAGCTTGGAATTGAATTGCTGACACTTGGGATATGGTGCTGACACTCTAATCTGAAATGATTTTAATCGTTTACATAAAGAAGCATTCCATAAAAATATTTCCCCGAGGGTGGCCCTGGTTACGTTACAAATTTAAAAAAATAAAATAGGATCATACTCTCCATCTTATTTTATATATTGCTGCTTTTCACTTATATCATGAAACCGTTTCCATGGCAGCATATATTATTCTGCCACATAATTTGTAATGTCTGCAAAGGCCTACATGGACATTCTGTGGTTTATTTAACCAGGCTTCTGATAGGCAGTTAGATTTTTCCAGCATTTTGCTATTATAAACAGTGTTGTGATAGACAAATATGTCACAGGTAAATCTATAATGTAAGGTTGTTTTCTTAGGATATGGAATTTCTAGTTAAACATTATTTTAAGTTTAAAGTCTGTGGTGTCAAGTTGCTTTCCAGGAATGTTTTTACCATATTATATTTCTGTCTACAACATATGCTAAAGACTGCTCTCCCACACCCTCACCAAGCCTGGGGTTACCACTCCTTTATATCTTGGCCAATTTCACGCTCAAGAAGTGGTGTTACACTTCTCTTTTCTGTAAGCATATTGGCTTCTGGCATTTCATCTGTGAGCTGCTTGGAAGCAGAAACTCCACAGCAGTACATTTGCTCTAAGATGAAGTTTGGCCCTGAAATCGCCCTACTAGGCTTCATATAATACATAAACATGGGTTGGAGATTGGGATTTCACAGAACTCAGACAGGCAGCGAGATTTCCCATGTGATACTCTTCAAATGCTTATCTTAGAATGAGGCATAACGTACATAGTAGAAACTGGTTGAATTTTACATCTAACTTTTACCAAAACCAACTTACTTCTGAAAAAACGAACAAAAATCCTTATTGTTCCCATGGACTCTTCTTTCACTTTTCCGCCCCATGTTCTTCATCTCAGTCTTGGAAAAGGGGAGAGGCCTCATTTCCCAAGTAAAGTTTCATCCTGATCTACTTAAAGCTGATTATCAAGGTCCAGCTCCCTTGACAGGTAGCAGGATGGAACTCACGACAGAGGGTAGACACAGGAACATGGTCGGCCGCCCAACTGATGGAGCTTCTGAGGAGGTCAATGTCTGGGGCTTCCGACCGTGCAGCTGTATCTGAACAGGCAATTCACCACCAGAGACAGCAAACCGGGCCCGATGCGTACACTGACTGATGCTAGTCACTATTAAATCATCTTCTCTAAACACTACTATTCACTCTTTTCACTGCCTGACCAACACCTCAATCCAGCTGACACCTCTCTCAGAAGCAATCATTTGTGGTAGAAAACAACCTGACAGTATCATGCGACATCCTATTGTATGTAAAATATAAACTTTTTTTGAAAATTGTAATGTAAGAACACTATTCTCAAAAACACATAAAGAAAATAACAGGAATTTGGACAGGTGATCAAATAAAGATGGTCCCTGTCTGTAACACAGTAGGTAGCTGAGGCTCGTGGGGTTGTGTTAGTGCTAACTTTCATCCCTCCTTAGTGACCGCGAGAAAAGATCTTCCAACTCCACCATTGCAGAGAACTTGTCTTCTTGCTATTTTCTACACATTATTTTTTTTTAAATCTGCCTGAGTAAACAAGTAAGCTGAGGCTTACAGCTTCATAAGAATCTGTTTTTACTATGAGTTCTTTATTGTGCTTCTATCCAAACCCCATGGTCTCCAGGAGTCTAAGTTTGTCTAAAAAACAGTAACATATTCCAATAGACCAATGTCGCTCAAGTTAGCAAAATGTCTTGAGGTAATCACACTAAAACCTAAATTGTGCTTACTAAGAGACTTACAATATTTAAAGCACTCTTTGGCCCTGCACACGGCCAGGAGACGGGAAGCATGTTGCCCCCCGCAGCCGCAGTCTGCCATTGCTGAGCAGAAGTCAGTGTCACAGAGAAAGCAGTTCAAGTAGCACACAGACCAGCGTCAGTGTACAAACCGCAGGGTGCATAAAGAAAGAGAACGCCGAAAATGTGTTTTATACCCACCCACTCACAACCAGGTGGCAGCTTATTAATCTTGAGCTGAACTGAATGTCACCGTGATTAAATTGTGTGCCTTGCTACTCATTTCCTTCTAAAACGAGATAAGAAAAAGTTGAAAATGGAACTTCAAAGGAACATGAAGTTCACTTTTCAAAAGAACACAAATGATTTTGCAAGGAGCCTATTTTTATGTATATTAAGTGTTTTGTCTGAATTTCAAACATATCCACCGTCAACAACAAGAGGGGGAGATTTATTCAGCCAACAGCCATTTGATATCTAATATGTAGAAGTCACTGCACAAAACATGATGAGATGTCTGAAGATAAAGGACCTTTGTACACTCAAATTGTTCACCGTAATTGCAGGAATAACTTTACATATTTTTTGCATGAATCATTTCAACGCAAGGTCATAGGTGAGAAGGGCTGTGGGAGAGACAGTTCTCTCCTGGCCCAGAAGGGTTTCATAAGGTTAAAGCATGAGAACCGAGTGCTGAAGGATGAACTAAGGGAGGTGATGGGAAAGGCCCCTGGTGCTGATATTCTGAAAATAACCTTGTTGTGAGCATTTAAGCCATAACTCTACTGAGAGTGGTGACTGTGGCCTTTCCAGATGCGTAGGGAACTGACCTTCTCTCCAGAGATGAAACGGTCTCCTATCCTTCACCACACCTGTCCATTCCAACAATGCACATGACTTTCCACAACTAGAATCTCCTCTAGCTGGTTGACAGGGCATAGAAGGGAAAGCGTGCTATTTCGTGAAATGTTCCTACCAAGGCCAGAAAGCCTATGCATGGGAGTTTCTCCCCACTTCTTCTTTCTGTTGAGATGCATGGAATAGAATTGACATCTGCCTAAAAGAAGCTACTCATTAACGAAATTATGGCTACATCTCAGGCTGACTCAGATATTGTGGCAACATGAATTATCCCAAATCCATCAAATACATTTCTTTTGGAATACTTATATCTGCACCCCAAATTCAGAATTTGGAATCAATCTATGAAGCAGAATTAATCGAGCACCATCGTAAGAGCTAAGTGGGACACGCAGACGGATAAGCCATAGTCCCTGCTCTCAAACAAAGCGCTTGTAATTGCTTTGGGAGAAAGACAGATGAAAAGCTAACTAACAAGAAAGTATAAAAATGCCAGATATAGTGCTGAAAAGTTTACACCATTAACGTTTAGTGAAATAAAAGACTGATGGGGGGGTAAGTGGCTATGAGATGGTTGTGGAGGAGATAAGACTTGTAGGGGAAAGCAGGACAAAGCACATTAATTCATTTGACAAAAAGAAGGACAGAATGGTACGGGCAAAGGACAAACGTGGGAGCACCTTTGGGAAAGAGACAGGGTTCCTCTACCTGGAATGGAGAAAGGAGAATGTTGCAGAGAGAAGTTGAGGCCAAACTGTGGAGGACCTTGAACTTTGATTAAAACATGTATGTATCAAAATGGCCAAGAGACATATGAAGAAATGCTCAACATCACTAATCATCAGAGAGATGCAAATTAAAACAACAATGAGGTATCACCTCATATCTGTCAGAATGGCCACCATCAACAAATCATCAAACAACAAGTGTTGGCGAGGGTGTGGAGAAAAGGGGACTCTAGTACACTGCTGTTGGGAGTGCAGGCTGGTGCAGCCGCTATGGAAAACACTATGTTGTTACTGTAAAAAGTTAAAAATTGAACTTCCATTTGACCCAGTGATCCCACTTCTAGGAATATACCCTAAGAAGCCTGAAACACCAATCAGAAAGAATATATGTACCCCCATGTTCATAGCAGCACTATTTACAGTAGCTAAGATCTGGAAACAGCCCAAGTGTCCATCAGTAGACGAATGGATAAAAAAGCAGTGGTACATATACACAATGGAGTACTATGCAGCTGTAAGAAAGAAAGATCTCTTAGCCTTTGAGACGACATGGAAAGTATTATGCTAAGTGAAAGAAGCCAAGCAGAGAAAGACAAATATCACATGATCTCACTTATTTGTGGAATATAGTGAACATAACAGTCTGAGGAATAGGGTAGACCCAGAGACGTGGAAGTAGAGTACAGACTGACAACCCTCAGAGGAGGGGGTGTGGTGGGGAGGGAAGGGATAAACCACAGAACTTACAAGCATGTACGCATAACTAATGGATGTGAACAACAAAGCCAGGGACGGGGTGGGAAGGATGGGGAGGAAGGTGTCAATGGGGAAAAACGGAGAAACATCTGTAACAAAAATAAATTAATAAAAAATAAATGTATGGATCGAAATGAGCCTGTGTTCCTTTACTCAAAATTGACCTAATATACTTGGCTTTGGGCCCTGGCTGCTTTGGCTCAGCAGTTAGAGTGTTGGCCCATTGACTGAAGGGTGGCCAGTTCAATTCCCAGTCAAGGGCACACTCCAGTCAGGGTCATGCAGGAGACAATCGATTGATGTGTATCTCTCACATTGATGTTTCTCTCTCTCTCTCTCTCTCTCTCTCTCTCTCTCTCTCTCTCTCTTCCTCTCCCATTCCCTTCCTTCCATTCTATCTAAAAATCAATGGGTGAGGATTAACAAACAAACATACTTGGCTTTGGTAACTTTATTGCTAAGTGATTATTTTAATACTATTACACAAACATAAGATTTATATAAATTATGAAGTAATTAGGGGGTTCTGAAGCCAAGCCTCATAAGAGAATTACCCAATTTAACTGCTTGTTAAAAATACAGATTCCCAGGCATAACCAAGGAATAACCTAGAAAGAAATAATAAACAAATGTATAGAAGTAGGTTCAAGAGTTCAGGCCTATGAGTCATTTAGGACTTGTAATCTGCTTTTGCCACTAATTGTGGGACCATGGACAAATCACTTAACGTCTCCAAGCTCCGTTTCCTCATCTGTATAATTCGTATGCTAACATATATTCCATACATGTGTTGTGAAGATTAAATGAAATAAAGTGCTTGGCATATCATGAGGGTTTTTACAGTACATGCTCAATAAGTGATAAAGGCAGGTGTCCTTAGGTGGTGCCAATGAGAAGACAGAAAGGACCACTGAAGACACTGTGGAAATGGACTGACATGATGGAACTGATTGGATGTGGGCAGTGAGCGAGAGCGAGGGGCCGAGAGAGCCCAACTGCCGAATCTTCCTGGCTTTCTGTGCATTCTGCTCTCTGCATCCAGCCGCTCTCTTCAGTCGCAGCTGGGTGTTTCGGGTCATTGCCTTTGTTTCAGCTTTCTCATTGATTGCCACCAAAAAGCTCGCCACTCTGAGGACAAGTTAGGAAAAATCAAACCCTGAGCATGTGGTCATCACACTGTCTCTCTCTCTCAATGCAGCCTCCACATCCAGATGTGTCTGCATGTTGCCCAACCAGTGCATCAAGGGTGGAGACCAACTCTACTGTGTCAGAGTGGGATCGTCGATGAGCAGTAAGACAGTGAATATCTGTGAACTGGGAACTGTAAGATGTGCCCACAGGAGAGTGGAAATACTGCACCCTGGAAAGTGTTTGCCCTAATACAGTTACCGGTGAACAGATTCACTGTCCAAAAATGATCCCTACAGAAGGGCATTCTTGTACAGAGAGCAGACTGCCATGCCCGAAGTTATTTTGTATTAGTTTCTAATAGTTATTCTCCTGTGCCTCTCCTGTCTTAGCTTCCCCTCCAGTTCCAGCCCTTGACACTCTATAGTATATCCCTAGATAATACTTTTTATATCAACCTAGTAAACTCTTTTGTTCATGTTGCATTAAAATGATGGAATTTCAGAGATTCTTATAAAGCCTGTGTTATTAACCATTCTCACAAGTAGAAATTTAAAAAAAGAACCCATAATTTTCTTCAATGAGTCAATAAACGTAGACATCTACAACTTGCAAAACATATTCTTGAAACCCAACCTTCATGCATTTATTCAACAAACCGTTCTGAATGTCTACAATGGGCCAACTACTGGTTCAGGTGCTGGCAAATCAGCAGTAAATAAAAAAGCAAAATCTCTTGCCTTTGTGAAATTCACATTCATGTGGAGGAAGACATACAGAAAATTAACTAAGCCCATAAATAACAGTGTGTTCAATGGTGAAAATTGCAATGGAGAGAATAATGCAGGGAAGGGTGAGTCTTATCCTTAAGCCTCATCACATGCCAGGAAATATTCCATAGTAATAAGCATCCCAGTAAGGATGACTAGACTCAAGTAGAAATGGTCTGTTTAGAGTAGCGAATACATTTCTGGCGTTCCAGTCTCTTAGGAAGAAGAAAAGAAATTCTTTGTCTCAGCTGAAGTGTAACACAAAGTTTTTAAGCCAAAGCATGTGCTGGATGGAAAATGATCAGAGAATTTTGAAGGAATAATTTTTACAGTAAACCACAGCTTTTGTATGAGGCCATACTAAGTAGACGGCATTTCTTAGAGAGGTCGGGTGGCATTTTGAACTGGGGAGGGGAAGTACCTGAACACTGGTGTGCACTGGTATTACCTTGTCAACACAGGTGCCTGCAACCCACCCCCCACTTCTGGTTCAGCAGCTCGAGTGGGGCCAGAGGCAGTACTTCTGAGAACTTTGAGGTAGTATTACTGATGACGATCAGGGGGGTTGGTTCTGAGAACCCTTGGTTTGGAAATGGAGCATCAGACAGCTACTCCTGACTTCGGAATGGATCCCAGAACCTTAGCCAGCCAGCCGGTAAGCAGGCGGGGCGGGGGGGGGGGGCAGCTTCCCTTCCTCTAACTCGGTGGGACCCCCGCCCACGGAAGGCGCTGAGCCACAGCCCCTGGCCGCACCTGCACTAGACCTTACAGTTAGAGACAAACTGAGAGACGGTGCAGACAGCTCGGGGTGGGGTGCGGTGGTATTGGGGAAAATGGAAGGACTGAGCAAAAAGAGAGAGGAGCCCTGGCCAGTTTGGCTCAGCGGTTAAAGCGTCGGCCTGCGGTCAGGAGAGACCCGGGTTCGGTTCCCGCTAAGGGCACGTACTTCGGTTGCAGTTTGTCCCCGACCCTGGTTGGTCGTGCGGGTGGCAGCCACTCGATGTGTCCCTTCACGTCGATGTTTCTCTCTCTCTCTCTCTTCTTCTCTCTCCCTCCCACTCTATCCATACAAAAAAATGGAAAAATATCCTCAGGTGAGGATAAAAAAAAAAGAGAGAGAGAGAGGAAGAACTCAGGGCCATGGACAACAGTGAGGGGACTGCGTGGGGGAGGGCGGGTGCACGTGGAAGAGGGTGTAGAGGGCATAACTGGTGATGGAACAAATCAAATAATAAAAATGCAGCTCCTGCTCGTCTCACGAATCGTAGGATGTTGACAAAATCTAAAACATCTCGCAATATCACAGGAGAATGAGAAAGGGGGAACGCAGAAACAGAAAGCATGTTTTCCTGGTGGAACGGCGTCCAGGTGGGACTTTCTGTCCCCAGGAGAGGTAACCCGCTTTGTCCCGACGCCACCCAGTCCCTTCTCACCCGAGAGTGGGGCGGGCCTTCAGCACCCCCAGGACCCCAAGCAGAGGACAAAGAGCCGGTCAATACCCACATCCTAAGGACAGCCAACACTACGGCTTCCAGAAACGTCCTCGGCACCCGCACCTTTCCGGGCTGCAGGGAGGGCGGGGGTGGGGCGGGGGATCTCCAGCCACAGGAACGCGGTGCCCAGAGTGACCATCCTTGTCCTCCCCGAAGTCCTTGTCCTCCCCTTCCGGAAGCTCGAGAGGGTGGGGGGCACCTACAGCCATATAGCGGGCTGCCCACTGGGGAGCGGGTGCGGGAGGGGTTCCCGGAAGGTGTGGGTCCACACTGGCCAGTTCTCGGGGTGGCCAAGGCCTCCCCCAGCTCAGCGTCCTGGCGGGAGCTGCCCAGGGTGGCCAGTGCCCTTGGGACAATGAGAAGGGAAAAGATGGGAGCAGCCTTCTCTGCCTCTGAGCCCCAAGGCTCAGGAAGGACACTGCCAGCTCCCTGGCTCCACAGGAAGGGCTCAGGGAGAGGAAAGGCAGGCACCCCAGGCCATCCTGAATCTTGGTGCGACCTACAGAAAGCACCCGAGGGAGACACAGCTGCCTCTCTCAGGAAGTTCTGGGGCCGAGGTAGGAGCAAAGCAACACATCACCCCAAGGAAACACAGAGACCACCAGTAACATGAAACCAGATCTAGTAAGAATGGTCCAGAGGTGACGCCCATCACTGGCTGCTCATCAGACAATCCCTGGCATCTCTCCCGTCCACTTCCCTGCTTCCAACCGGAGAGAACAGACCCAGCAGTCGCGGGGGCGGGGGTTGATGTCCCAAGAGGAGACATGACCCTCCTCGTCCCTTCCATGGCGCTGCAGGGCTTGGAAACATGCCAGAGCACCCCCCTCCCTCAAGCCCTCTGGCCCACAAGCCTAGTTGGTGCTGGACACAGGGAAGGTGATGACACGTAAACTGGACGCGAGAGTGGAGCCTTAAGTTGAACCAACGTCTAAGAACGGAACTGACCAGAGCTATATATGCTCTGTCCCAGATTTATTTGAGACAAGAGAAAAATGGAATTGGGTAGAACACAGCCGAAGCTGTATCCATTTGCTAGGACTCCCGCAACAACGTACCACGAACGGGGTGGCTGAGGACCACGGAGCTGGTGGTCTCACAGTTCTGGGGTCCAGGAGTCTGAAATCGAGGTCTCAGCAGGGCCGTGTTCCCCTGGCCCCTGCAGGGAAGGATTCTTCCTTGTCTTTTCTGGCGTCCGGGTGTTTGTCAGAAACCCTTGGCATTCCTTCGTTTGTGGGTGCAGACGTCACTCCGACCTCTGCCTCCATCACACGTGGCTGTCTTCGCCGTCTCCCCTCTGTGCGCGTGTCTACCCATGTTTGCTTTGTTCTATGAGGACGACAGTCATGTTGGATTAGGCCGACTCTTAACGACCTGATCTTATTTAGATTACAGCTGGAAGACCTATTTCTAAATAGGCTCACATTCACAGAGACCAGCGGGGGTGTGTGTGTGTGTGTGTGGTTGTTGAAGATAATTTTTACTTTTTTTTAATTGTTGAAAGTATTACAGATGTCCCCCCTTTTCCCCTCCATTGACCCCCCCACACACCCCTCCTGCTTTCCTTTGGTTGTGCATATATGCATGTAAGTTCTTTGGTTTATCTCTCCCCCTCCCCTGAGGTCGGTATCAGGGGGCTGGACTTGAACATATCCTGTTTTTGCAGGCACAGTTCAATCCATAGCACTGTGATGAAAAAAAGAAAATGTTTTCTGTTTGTACCATATAACATAATCAAAAGCTTATACTAGCTGTTACATTCATATTGTTTGATTAAAATTAGTCACATTGCTTAAATGTATTCTTTTTTTTTTTTTTACTTACAGCAATCTTCCCTTTTTATCACTTTAGCTACCTTTGTGGCGAAGGATTTTTTTAGTGCATCCCATTAAAGTTTGCATTAGGTTGCTTTGCATACGCCACTTACCAGTTGAATTTTTCACACTCTGCTATTAATATTAATATAGCAATTTAGTACAATAAGTGTTAAGAGCTAGTGATAAAACCATCATGAAGCAGAGGGCAAAACTGAAACATATTAAATACCTGGAATTTGGACCTAGAATCTCCACCGCTGTCCTAGAAGATTAAATAAATTCTCAATCAAAGGTAAAAGCTTTATCCTCTTAAACTATTAGAGATGAATATGAAACATTCATGCTTGTATTTTAAGGAACAGAAAACCAATTCAGGTTCTTCTTTTAATACGGATTTGAATTTTTGTTGATTCTGAAGATATTGACAAAATTAATAAGATCCCAGTTTAAAGAACTTATTAATTGTCTTGCTATATATCTCAGACATCCTAGAAGCAGAGTTCTAAGGCTATGATTTTTAAACTCCAGTCCTTTGGGGAGGTGACATTTCAGTCAATAATGAGTTTCTCTTTATAGCAATCTTCAGTAAAACTCACTAAATTTTTGAGTATTTCATTGTTTTGTTTTGTTTTGTTTTGTTTCTACAAAGCCTGCAACTAGCATGACCAAGATTCCTTTATTTTAAAGATTGTGTCTCTTCTGTTATTTGCAGAAGAGCACCCAAAAGCTAACCCTGATCCACATCCCTTCTGAAATTCCAATGCTGAATAACAAGAGTCGGACCGGTCATGATGTGTCTGGTTGGCGTTGGACAACAAATTTCTGCATCTTGATTAATTGGATTCTAAGTGGCTGGCTGTCTCGAAGGTCACCTTCATTTTTCAGGAATACATCATGTGTAGAATCAATGAGGCATCAAGCTTCTAACCAAACAAATGGTCTGCAAAATTATAGTTGTATCTATTTTATGTTTGGGAGTGAGACAGACCACTGCTACCTATTTGTCTTCTTGACAAGTTCTAGCTGTACAGCTTCAGTTCCATGTGTCAAATGTCAGTTAGTCAAGGTGTGTGTCACCAACCAAGCAACTCCCAGGGACAGATGGTGCCTTGAAAGTCATGCTTACAGTGATTTATATAGAAAGATGTTCATGACAACATTATTTATAATAG